GTGTGATTTTTCCACAAACTAGGTCGAAGCTCACTGTTGAAAATCTATCACTTGGAGGAACCGGAAGCGATTTCTTCACCTTTTGCTTCCAAAATTTTGTTACCCAAAATGGTCAACCAGATATAGTGCTCGTCGAGTTATCGGTTAACGACTATGGATATTTACACGGTGCAACTGCTAAACCAATGGAGCTCTTAACTCGACGGGTCCTATCATTTCAGACGCTGCCGTTAGTGTTGTACGTCAGTTTAGTTGATCTTGTAAAGAAAAGTGAATCTTTGGAAAGCATAGACAACCCCAATTGTCATAACTTGGAGGACTTGGGGCAACGAGAACTTGCAAAACACTATGAAATAACTTTGCTAAGCTGGCGTGACATTCTTTGCCCTGTAAACCGGAAGACTCGAAGGCGTCAACCCTATCTACGACCAGGAATGGTGAATAAAGATCATTTGCATATAGACGTGAAAGGACATGCTCAGACTGCTTTAATGATGATTCGATACTTCCAGAATTCTCTTGAGAGGGCAGCAGTAAGCGCTTCGTATGGTCTGCAGCCACAATGCGCGAACCCTGGTTTGGGTCCTCCCTTGTACGCTGATGCATCGTCGCTTGTTACGAACCCACTGTGCTGGGCGTATGTCAATCCAAGATGGGGAAAATCTAACGTATTTCAAACTCTTCAAGTCACTGTTAAAAGGAAGGAGAAATTCGAGGAGCTTCCATTAGAAAACATTGAAGCAAATGTGGGATACAATAATGATAAGGATGACAGGAGCGACGCCTTTGGTGGTTGGAGGTCTGCTCGGGCAGGCAGTGTAATTGAATTTTCTTTTCAAGTTCCAGCTGCGACGAATTATACTGGGTATGTATCTACCAGTTACTCACTAGGCATGGTGATTCGACGTTTGACCCAAAATTCAGGACAAGTTAAGATGTGGTTGGACAATAGCAAAAAAGCTGCAGTAACCATCGTGGGGAAAAGGTTTGGTAGAGTTCACTTCCAAACTCGCGTCTACTTTGTAGACTCAAACGTCCTTCCTGGCCACCATACTTTAAGACTGGAGACAACAGGTAACAAAGCAATTGGGCTTTTGGTCAGTGGCATTGTGCTAGGTCCTTCTGGTATTCGAGGGTTTAAGGGTTATAAACCTACTGGCACCCTTGAAAAAGTATGGAGTAGAGAAGACTATGAAAAGTTTAAAATATGAGCAATGGGAATTAATACAATTGACAAACTAGTAAAAAGGCCTAAAAGTAAGCGAGTAACCTTCAATGTTTTTTGTAGGGATTGTTTCTCTTGTACTGCAACAAAAGTTTTATGACTGTCATGTTTTCGTAACAGTTTTCTAAAATTACTCTTTTGAATCACAATGAACATCCAAGCCAACAATTGCCTATTTAACGTCGGTATGCTGATGTATCTTTAAGTCGTGAAAATTCAACAGTGAACCAATTTTTTATATTTTATTTTCGATACGGACTCATCATTTGATGGAAAAAGAGAAAATGGATTGAGATTTCAAAAGGGGATAATTGGGGATCAATAAGCCATTATTGCCATTTAAAACCGGTTTCAACAAGAGCAAACAAAGAAAAATTTTATCTTCATTTTTTTACTACATATATGGTGCTAAGAGAACAAACCTAAAACGCTCCCTTATAGGTAGAACATTTTAAAAGTTACGACTTGAAAAGGCGCTGGATTGCCGGGTTACATTCCAAAAAAGAAAAACGCGTGTAGAGTTTGTTACAAATCTTGCCTAATTTAGTTTTGGAGACGCTGCAGTGCTTTATACTTTCCTGAATTCGCGATTCACTCTTATACAATATCTAATCAGGTGAAATTTGATTTATTCTCTAAAAATTGCCTGTGTACCGACACTAAATAGTGTTCAGTTGTATTCATCTATTAGTTCGCGCGCCGGCCGATATGTAACTAGTCCCAGTCTAGTCTAGTCTATTGACTGATAAAACGTACAGCGCATCACATCAGTATCAAATGAATGACATAAATCAACCCTGCCAAACGAAAGGTCCAAATGGTTTTTAAATTATTTTTTTAACGCACATTATTAGTAGCACAATAGGCAAATCATTTTCAAGATCATTGGCGGCCAAAATATGGAATTGCATACCTCCGAGTATTAGAAAACTCCTAAAGCAGCTTTAAAAAGAAAATAATTGCTTACTTCAAATCCTTTCACAGACAACGACTATTCTGGACTACCTACCTTACTAGGACAAACGCAACATATTCATTATCATACGTAACTCACTCACACATTATCATTGCAATCATCTTAATAGTGTACTTGTAAGCTTCTGATTTATATTCTGTATTCCAGCTAACCTCAGCATTGTTTTTAACTTAACTTTTCTTTTTCTCTTTACCATTTGCACAATTTATATAAATAACTTTTATTGATTTGTTCATTGAATACCATTTGGAGTCTGTATTTTGTGTTATATAGACACTGCCCACCTAGACTAGCCTTTGCTATTTGTGAGCAATGAGGAAATAAAACTGTAAATGCCAATAAAATGAAGTGAAACATTACCTCCCCTGCTTCTAATCTCTAGCTGCAGATGGCTAAATCATATTCAGGCAGTACTTATCTTTTTAAAAATAAAGATACCAGGAAGAATTTGCAAAATCCGGCTTTAAACTCACTAAACCATAGAAGAGCTTGGCTTCACAATCAGTTGAGGTATGCCTAAACTACCTCCAAATAACACTGAGGATATACTTAACGCGTGATGTAATACTAGCAATGACATCTTCTCAGTTAAAATCTTCCGAAAGTTTAACAGGCAGGCGTTTGAAAAGGAAGGGAAAGGAGGTTTTGGGAGTGAGAAAATAGGAGGGCGCGAGGAGGGAGGGATGGAAACTTTCTCTCCCTCCTCGCGCGCCCCTTGCGTTTCTCTTGCGCATAAAACTCCCTTTCCCTTCCCTTTCAGACGCCTGCCACGCAGGCTATGATGGTGACTGACATCTAAGCTATGGTTATTATATTAAAAATATTGGGTGCAGCCTGATTATATACGTAGCCTGCGAAAACAGCCGTTTCTCCTCGCTCTTCGCCGCTGAGGACGTTTCGCGAGGAATAACGTCTACGACTCAGCGACAGAAATTCCATACTGATGACGCAAAATCTGTCCGAAATTCGGTCAGAAGCGCTGATTGGTGGACTGAGTAGTTACATTACACGAATGACAGACAAAAGACAAAAGGCCTCGAAGGTTGGATGTGGAGCCCCATGACCACAGGATATATTATGTAAACATTGATTTACGTCATCAGTAGCTGAGTCGCAGACGTTCCTCCGCGCGAAACGTCCCCAGCGGCGAAGTGCGAGGAGAAACGGCTGTTTTCACAGGCTATTATATACGCCATTTTTCAAACGTTATCACGGCACCGCAGGAAGTTTGGGTATAATAATAATTATACAAGCCTGCAAAGCAGCGGATAATCTTTATACTAAGAGAAAATTTGTGCTATACCCGGTAGCCCGAATTATGGCCCGGGTACCAGAGTGGAGGGCACGTTTATATTAGAGCCTGGGGCCGGGTTGTTCAAAGCTGGGTTAACATAACCCAGGATTAGTGCGAAATCTAAATTCAGATATAAAAGCTAGAAAAGCAAATTCAGTTTAGTTCTTATTGTCTACAATTTGACGATTAGATACTCAAAAAAGAATAGAGCAAATTAATCGAGAAAATGCTTTTGATAAAATATACACCAGGGCCAGGCTCCTCCAAAGATGGTTAAGTTTAACCCAGGATTAAGCCAAATCTTAACCAAGGTTTTCTTGTCTAATAACAGGCCCCTCGAGCTTACAAAATACTGTAGTGCCTTTACTTCGAGACTCAGTGATGATAGCACAGAATGTTGCTCTAAGCAATGCTTAGGAATTAAGGTAAATAAATAAATGGAACAAAATTTTTAATCCTGGATTAGCGCTGATCGGCCTTTCAGGTACCGGGACCAGGTAAGCTCTAATCGACCTTCCAACAATTGGGCCCAGCGTGTAAATTGTAATGAAGAAAGAATTTTTTCACAACAATAGATATCCGGTATTTCCCTAGCGTTGTATGTATTACCACCATTCTTCCTATTGTGTGCCCCCAGGCATGACGCAGGGCACTGCCTGCAATGCATGTGAATGTACAGCTGTCCACACCAGTGGACAGCGACCATTTTTACCACTCCACATCTAATTACATATTCATGTGGATTGTAGTTGGTGAGAATATGTTATAAGCAACTCGCTCTACATGTGTAATCAAACCAAAGCTTTGGGATAGATGTATAACAAATGTAACATTATTTCTAGGGCGTGGTTGCCGAGCGATTAACACCTTGAACTCCGAATTTGGAAGTCGGGGTTCAAACCTTGCCATCACGTTGTTTCATTAGACAAGGAAATTTACTCCACTTTGTCTCTCTTCACCCAGGTGTGTAAATGGGTACCATAGAATTACTGCTAGGGGTAACTTTGATGGATAATTCTCCCATCCAGGGGAGCACAGCAATTATCCTTAGTCTTTTCATAGTATGGAAACCGCGGGTAATTTCAGGCCTTAGCTCGAATGCAGACTTAACCTTTTATGATTAAAGATTGTTTCTTTTGATATGAACTCTCTTTTAACTCAGGTTTCAGCTGCTAGGTTTGGAAACTTACTTTGAGTTTTCTAATATCAGATGTGAATTAAAAAAAAGGCTCTATATGGGTGTAAATGTATTTAGCACGAAGTACTAATTTTACGTCTCCTACTGGAGACGGGACGGCCATTTTGCGCGGTCATCCAAGCCACACCAAGGTCTAGTCGTATACAGGGAAAAGACAGTACCTTCATTTCTCCGTTATTTTAAGACCCTGAGCATTGGTCCGGACCCCAGGAATCAAACACGCGGTGCCGCCCGCTCTGCAGTAAAGCGTTCCAGACCAGTGACTGAGCTAATCATGTCGTGGTTCAAATAAAAGGCAAACACTTTTCATATTTGTATTCTGAACATTTTATTACGTTAGGAGAAATGAGTGTGAGGAAAAAACGCTAAATTTATTGAAAATAAACAAAAAGGCAAAGAACGCCCATTTACTTAATCCACCATGAGCTACTTTTTCTTTGAGCAGAACTCTTGAATTTTTCAAAATTTCGAGTTTAATGAAACTGTGTCAAGGCAGTTTAGTCCATTTTGTTTAGATTCGTAAATTACATTCTAGGAAACTTAGCATTAGCGGAAAAATACTTCTAAGTCAAAAATCGACTCTTTGTAAAAATTAAAAATCACAAAGATAAAGTTTGAAAGCCTAACAGCTTAAACAGTTTTGAAAAACTTCATTCCATTTTATGATTATCCAATTAATTCCATCATGATTTTTTTTTTATTTCTACCAAGCCACTATTAAACGTTTATGAAAACGCATTTCCATTGTATTGTTTAGAATGAAAAAACGTAAACAAAAAAGAAAAAATAAATATTTACTTCTAAGTTCATTAGGCTGAACACTTGCGCTTTCCGCTATAACTAACTTGACAAGCCAAACATGCTGATTTGTAAGTTGTCAGAATACAAGCTGAGCAAGGTGTTCGTCCCTCTACCACTTTACTATAAGAGCCGATCAGTACTGTTTCTAACTGGATTATCCGCCATTACAACGATTATATATTGTTTGCGAAAATTAGGTCATCATAGATGTTCTTCGCTGTCCGTCTTGCTCACTACGTTCCAGTGCAAGCTGCCACGCATGAATCATGTGCTTGACAGAAACGTTTTCGGGCATTTCATCCAAGCCCGGGAATTCTTCCCCGTTTTCTTCAAAATACCTCGCCAAGTACTCACTTAGGCTGTAGAAAGAATCAGTAGTTTAAATTTAAGGTGCGTTTATTGGAGTTAGAATGCTTCATGGAAAGTTCGCGCGTATGGCATTTGCACACGGTTTGTACACTTCAGTAATATATAGATATAGCTAAGGCTAAAGGCGAAGCTCCCGTTAATAAATTTATAATTTACTTCAAACAATAAACTTGTAACCAATTAAAATAGAAATCCACCGGCAATCGAGCCTGCAATCATTGAAAACTAATGACTTGTCAGCGATGGACGGTCACGTGACTACCAAATATCGATCGGATGGATAGATAACCAAATTTTCTTAGCTATGGGGCTCCGCTATGACAAGAAATCTGATAAGTGAGCACAGCTAACAAGTAAGGATTGCGTTACAAATATTAAGTGCGAATTTACCTTATTTAGCACTTCCTAGTGAAATTATGTTTAATAAATAAACTTCAGAAATTCAATTCAAACTCTGGCGCGCAACTCTTGGAATATCCGGGAATAAGAATAAGACGCTTACTTCGTACATGTAAAAACAAAAACATTCATTATTATATTAATAGTAGACCAAAACCTCCATTTAATATAATAACGGAACCCCACACGCCTTTGCCGGTGGCGTGGAGCCCAATGGAAAAAAAAAACGGGTAACTTATGGTGCGGATCCAGACCTTCAGCTAAGGGGGAGCAGGCGGTTTGAAAAACATTTTTTTTTGGCCCCTCGGGCCTCAGTTTGCTTTAAAAATAAGTGGGAGGCCCGGGCCCCTTCCGCTGGATCCGCCACTGGTTTGGAAGTGAAGTAATAGTCACGTGACCGTCAACCACAACCTCGCCCAGTGAATTTGTGGTGATATACTTGAATGATAGTCATATTATAGTCAATTGAAAGCTGTCAGAAAGTGGAAACAGATCAGAAAAAAAACGCCACTGAATCGAAGTCAGCAATTACCAGTACCTTAAAAACGACTTCTCCGCAAACTCAACAAAAACTGACAAGAATGAATGAAACGACCTATGACAAAAGAGTGATCGAAACGCACCACTCGCTCTCAGCGTCTTCAAAGCCAATGGCATCATGCCCTTAATGACAGGCCACCAATAACAAAGCTATTTAATTGGCCAAACAGGTCATTTACGAGAGCTCCAAAATATCAACTGACGTGATACAACTCACTTTGACTCTGAAGATGACCTACCGGACAGGCTGTGGAAACACGCGGTGAGTCACGGTCAAAAAAGAACCCTATTCAGGACTTCACTTGACAATAGAATCATATTTCACCTACTCATGATTCTCATGACAAAACCATTGTTTGCGGAATGGCACACTAACATGCATAAAAGTAAGTACAACTTGTGCCAGCGTAAAAAAAGACATTCCTAAAGCCAATAAAAATTAAGGCTTACACGCAAGGATTGCATGATGATAACAATTATTTCATTGATTTTAAACGTAAGGTAAATACAATACAATAATATATAGATTTAGCCAGGGCTAAAAGCGAGGCTCCCATGAATAAATTTATAATTTAAATTAAACAATAAACTTGTATTCGAATTCCACAATTCAGTTAACTTTAGAGCACATTTGTGTGACTTTTGAGGGAAAGGCTACCTGATTTTAGAGAAAAATAATTTGCAAACAGCCCAAGTAAGAGTGAACCAAATCTTACATCGAGTTGATAGCCTCATATGTACACCCAAAAACTGGTAATCATCTTCGATCACATTTAAGAACCATAATGGCTCTTGATCACCGTAGATTAATTAGTGGAAAAAAAAAATCAGGCCAACTTTTTTGCGTTCGACAAGTTTACTTTGCAAAATCTTGTCAACAAATCTGGGTGCGTGTAAACCAACCTTTTATACCATTTATACATCACATCTGAGGTGAAACAGTAGTATGAGGCACTGTTTTTATCATACCGGCAGACCTCGGACAGAAAGCAGTATTTCACAATAAAAATTGCACTCATTCAATATTCATAAACTGTTAAAAAAATTTCCAAAATCACTTTTGTAGTGCGAGCTTTGGCGAGTGTTTGAATGAACAATAACAGAGTTACGCTCCAACATTATAAAGAATTTATTCTGTTTATTTTTTATTTAATGGTTTATTAACGCGCGGCATTTTGAGTACTCCTGCAAGCGATGTTCACCGAACGACTGAAAACAATCGGCACAGCGATTAAAATTACAAAAGAGACTACTAACAATCAATAAAAGAAATATAATTCGGTGAAACATATACAGAAACAACAATTTTCATTCAGGAAGACAAGCATTAAAGTATCCCTAAAAATCCGGATTCTTCAAGCTTCAAGTTAAGTTTATGTTTTAAGCCGGCTTCCCGGTGTTTGCTTTTTTCAAAGACGAACTCGAGGCAAGAAAATCGCTCAAAGCTTTCTTTTCCGGCCAGAATTATAACTAAATATTCTTTGGAACGTTTTCTTTCTATTTGCGGTGAGAAACTGTCTAAAGGCTCTTTAAAGTTCTGTAAGCTTATATCAAACCTGATACTCGGTCAGATCATTGTCTCAAATCTTACAAACGTGCATAAGCTAAATGACCGCATAAACTCCGCTCGACTTCATTAAATTAGATCCAAAAAAACAAACATCAAATACAATAATTTCCCTGGCTTACCATTCGAGATGCAGCTCCTGAAAGGTATCAAGAAAAGCCAGTATCGCTTCAGACTTTGCAATCCTCTTACGCATCAAGCAAGGTGAAAACAAAAACGATGCCATCCGAAATCGGATTTCCGACTTTGACAAGCGACGTATTTCTCAACCAAAAACCCAATAAACAAACTAGCCATGAATAACAGAGGACTCCTGATAGCAGCTGAATTTCATTTTGCACATCCAGTGGAAAAAGACAGTTAAAAACATCACAAGTTGACACAAAACTCTGTCAGCTTCAGCTGTTAAAGTAAACAAGATTCAAGATGCTGCATAAATTTTCCGCATGAACTCACCTGTCAAATTTTGACCAATCAGAGCATAAAAATTGGACGTAGAGCGTGACCAACGCGTGACCATGGTGAGAAAAGTCAAAAGCAACTGTCTTCCCTGCCTGTAACAGCTGGCTGAATTTTCGCGTCCGAGGTCAGTTTGCAATCAAAATTTTAATTGTGGAGCACATAAACACAACATATTTCATATGAATTTAGAAAAAACTTGAACTTGAGCCTGCGATCACTTGAAAACTAGTAACTTGTCAGCGGATAACTTCAAAAAAATACTTGACCTCGATGGGTCGACACCTGAGCCCGCGATACGGTCAAGTGATACTGGTCAGCGGGTACCCTGTTTTGACAGCTGTCAATTGATCAAAACATTGATGTCCAATATGTGTGCATTATCAGTTTAACTAGTAAAACAATTAACTGGTCAGCAGACAGCTTCCAAATAAATCACGTCACCTCGATGAGTTGACACATGAGCCCGCGATATGGTCATGGGATACTGGTCAGTGGCTATCCTGTTTTGACAGCTGTCAATTGACCATATTGTGAATGTCCTAAAATCCTATATTAAAGATGTGGTCTTGCCAAGACACGCCTGAGACACCCCTCCCTTCCGTTTGATAGTCTCCCCTACCCCACCCGTACAATCTGTAGACGCGTACGTACGTATGTACGTACGTACGCTCGGTCAATCACGTGACAACCAAACGAAAAGAGGTTGACCATATTCCATGAGTATGGGGCTCTGTCCCACGCGCGCTTCGCGCGCGCGGGAGCCCCGCTATAATAGTTTATTAAAGAGAAAGAAAACAAAACAAAATATCTCTCGAAAGGGGATATCTAGAGGTTATCCCTATATAAAAGACTCCCCAAAATAGAAGAGAACAAATGTAAAATCTAGAATGTAATAAAACGTTATATACAGAGAAAAAAATCTAAAAACTAAAAAATAGAATCAAAAACGTTATTTGCATATCGTAATTTAAACTGTTATTCCACACATTAACGATCCGTACAAAAAAAGAATATATGTCGCAGTTTGAGATGGCAATTTTTATATAGAGCCTATAATCGTGACTGGCTCTAGTTCGATTACACATGGTGATCTCATAAAAGTCCGAAAAAGGAAGGCTATCTAAAAAAGTTACACACTACCTCATTTCCCCAGTTTCTTCATTCTCATCAGCAAGACTAACACAGATGACTTCAACAACTTTAGTCAAGAAGAGATGTACGTCAACTTTCCTCCTAAGCGCCCCACTAAAGCGCGTTACCACTGCCTTCGGCATTTCACCCTTAAAACACTCCGGAACGTGATCAAAAGGATCCTGAGAACGATAGAGATGAAAAATACAAAAGGAGTCCAGTTTACTAAGTTGCAAATATACACAAAATAAAAGAAGTTAGCAAATCTATTAGTGACCAAGTTACAGATAAGCAACGTTTAAAGCAAATTGAAATAATAGAAAAATACCTCATTGTTGTTTAAGAGAAACCTTGCACGCGCAACAGCAAGGGTTCGCCACAATTCCAGAATGTTTTTTAATTTGCACTGCTGGTAAGCCTGGAAATAAGGAAAACAATTTTTTTTCAGTTTGAATAGAATAAAATATCTTAAAAAAACAAAACAAACAAAATATACCTAACTTTAAAGGCGTGTCATAAAACGAAATTTTAACATACATTTCAGTCATCACGACCTCTTTAACAATTTCCTAATGAATTAAAAACGGGGCGTCAACATTAGAGTCAACCAACTAAATTACATCTGCTTGATATTCTTCTTCCTGTTTTGATATTATTTGTTCATTTATATTTATCATTGTTCTAGGCACATAATTTAATGGTCTTGTATTGTTTCACACGATTTCCTTTTCCCCGACTCGATTACGGTACTTTCGGCTGGGCGGGCTCGGGGCAAACATATGTTGGTTTAAATGTTGTAGACAGAAAATCTTGTGTCATAAGAGAAACTTAAAGTCATTTCTTCAGTACGGGACCAAAAAATATCATGTTTCAGTCCTTCACCAGAAACGCGCTCCAGTTAAAACCATAGGACAACTAATAACTACTACAGCTGTACTTGTCAAAATAAATAAATTACATTTTATGTTTAATTTTTTTATTGAAAACCTTCTTGTTTTTCTGCCTTGATTTTCCCTCATTCAATCGCAACACGTCCCTGCAATAGTCACCGATGCTCATTTCTGGGTCTCCACCACTTATAGACAAAAAGCCAACTGTAATTTCCAGCGTTTTGATTACGTCGGTAACATCTTTGAGATCTTTGAACTCCGACAGGATCTGAGAACGAATGTGTCCCGTAATGGGCTCCTTCGAGATAAATAGAAAAAAAATGTGAAAAGAAATGCTGTTTTGCTCGTGTAAAAGTTTTTATTGCTGATGATAAACTACTTGATAATTATGTAAAAACAACGCACCTGTGGAATCTTGTGTTTTAATGCAGCAAAGGAATACTCATCTCGGGCATCCTCGAGAAACACAAAATCTTCCATCTGAAATGTAAAAAAAAATGGTTTTTTAATACACAGGTTTTTTCGTCTATAATTTTGTAGGTTTAAAATCACGTTAAAGGTGCCTGCGATGAGTTAAAACCAAAGTGCAATTTGCTAAACTTTGATCCCCACGGTTATTCTTAACAAACTGTCATTGTCCCTGGTTTGTTTCAAAACACTTTAAATTTCTTTCATTCTTCACTTTTCAGTGAAGCAAAGAATTCTTTATTGGAGGGGGTCGTGAATTTTTAGTCTCTCCCTTTAGCGGTTACAACTGTTAAAAAACGTCCGGCGATCTAACCATCCTTGACATGAAACCAGGGACGCCGAAGCTGGGGCCTAACCTTTAATTTTTTTTTCCATTCGAATCAGATATTTATCAGTGTGACGTGTGCGTGTTTCTCCTTGTTGTGGGAGCTCAAGCATTACTCAGTCTAGGGCCTGGTTGCCAAAAGTGGACGCCCCTGGATGTTCCAGGCACCCAACCTCCAATCAGGGATGCGGTTATTAATACCAAAAGGCTTTATTAAAACGTCTTTCAACATAGTAAAAACTTAAATTTCCTTTCAGTAAAGAGCATTATATAAAAACGTTGCTTACTTCAAACTCCACTTGTGGTCTTCCCCGTATGAACCTATCAATGATTTGCTTCTCTAGCGCTTCCCAGTTGTACTGGAGCTGCGTTTCTCTTCCCATTTCTAGCGAGTAGCTGCAGCTTGCCAACATCATAGGCAATAAGTCCCTCTCATAGTCATATGCAATCAGCTGCGAGGGCGACACCTCAGAGAGGGGAACATGGCCTTTGGGTCTGGTATAAGATAAAAGACATGCATAATAAACTAGGATTTTTAAAAAGTCATACTCAAACTTAATTAAGCTTATTTCAAATTAAAAAAATGATGATTACTGTCAATAATATAAGAAATCATTTGTTAAAATTGGTACCGGTTCGTTTTTCGAGCCGCAAAAAGGCTTTAATTTCGAAGGCGACTGCGCGATGTATGAAGTAAGTAAATAGGAATGCAGCCTCTCGTGGTACGCAGATCAAGTGCGAGTTGCACATTTGCGGTAAGGGCTGGAGGCGTGGGGGAGGTTTTGTGCCACCGGAAACTCATTGTAAATTACCTTATATACCTAGCAAATCGGTGCACATCGTTTCAGCAATTGCAATGGATACAAGGGTCATGGGGATGCAAGCCAAAATTTGTGCATATTTACGGAATTTAGCGCGCTGTGCTCGGTGTAGTTTAAGGAAAAAAAGGTGCTTTAAAAATGGAATCTACATATTTTTTTAAAATTAGGTTTTAAATGCTAATTACGTGAAACTTGGATGAAAGTAACAAAGATAGTGAAGTTACCGGGTATTTTCACAACTTTGGTACGCTTGAACAAGTTCATTGTGGGCATTGACTAAAAAGAACATTAGTCCCTTGCAACAAACGCCTGGCCCTTCGCTGGCTGGGAGTACTAATGACACGCTCGAAGTTCTCTCCATCGTCTTTGTACACTGCTCTTCAGTTGGAGCAAATCGTCCTGAAAGCAAGGGAAGTTATGGTGTTGATAATGCTTAACTTCTGGGTGCTCAAATTTTTCAAGGGCATATCAGTGACAAATCTCGATGCTACGAAATATTGTTTTGTATTGATTACAAAACAACTAATACAGACACAAAAATGCCCCACACTTCTCTTAAACAGCATTTACATCTGTTAACTGCTGAGGCAAAGTGCCGTCTATACTACGTAAAATCGAGGTGTGAGCGGAAAGTAGCTAGCCCTACGGAGCGAGATAGGAGGAGCGTAGGGCGGGTAGGAGAGAACCCTGGGAACTAGGTTGACTCATAACTAATTGAATTGCAAGATTCGCAGAATGTTTTCCGAAGCGATACATTTATAACGTCAGGGGATCAGGAAAAAAGCACCATTGATACCTTGAGAACTTAACTGGTGACGAACAAGATCCCATGCAGACTGGAAACTTTGAAACAGCTTGAGTACGCTCCCTTTTTGATCTATGAAAAAGAAAGAAATAAACATTCAAAATATAGTGGCAAAACAGCAGTTGCTTCACTTAAATATTTCAGCAAATCGGATGTTGTTTTATTTCATTCTATCGCGTATAAGGTTTGTTCTTTACATAACCCTTGTTCAACTATACCCTTTTCTTTAGTAAAACTTCATTTCCTTGTCCCAGAATTCCCCAGCTGCAAATAATCCAGAAGGCAGAATACGTATTTTGAGAGACAAAAATTTCGTACAGTAAATTGCCAATTAAAATATCGTATTGCACATCAACCTCGCTACGTTTAGGCCTTCGGTCCTTGCCGCTGGGCAAAGAATAAATGTTCTGCTGTTACGGGCAAAATAACCTGGCCAAACACATGTTATTGAACGTGACACAAATGACGAGCATTTTAGTGGAAGGTGGTGACTGTGTACAGTCTGTCATTAATTTGACAAGGATGGTGTTTTCGATCTTTTTATTTTAAAATACTAAGCAGAAAAGGAAGGAACAATTTCTTAATGTAAAATTATTATTATTCAACCACTTATTATAACATAGCTGGAATATTCGCCTAACCAATTTCAATAGCGCGAGCGTGCTACATATTCCCATTGAGCACGACGATGACGTCAATAAGCTATACCTCGAGTTCTTGTGAGCTTATCACTATCCTCCAAAGACGTCTCCCAAGTGCATCCATAACTCAACAGTACATGATGAAGCGTTTACCATCTTTTATAAGGTAATTTAAAAGAAAACCTTTCCAATTTGTTTACCGATAGTAGGGAAAAGAGGTGAGTGTTGTTTTTGTCATCTCCTCGAACTGTGCCGGCTATGGCGTGTGCAGATCATTCTTTGCAAATTTGTCTCTCTCAAAAATAATTTTTCGGTGAATTAATAGTTTTCCGGCACCTTAATATGGATTTTACAATTTTTTTGTAGTTATCATAAGCGACTTGAGTAAACTTTTTCTCAGATTCAAGAAAAAAAACAACTGTGAGGTAAAAAAAATACATAGTCACGTAGACACTGACGCGTACTGCTTTGAGCCCGCGTTGCAATAATAAAATTTTAATTAGTTAACTGCTGCATTGATCGCTTTGATAATGTTATTTAAGCAATAGAAAACGTTTTCCGTGTTTGCATAGCCTGATATAAACACGAGAGGGGTTGGGAGAATTCGAGACAGTTATGCAAACCCGAGACGAAAAAAGCAAAACTCTCTTGTTTAGAGTATTGATTAAAAGAGAAAATCTTACCTGTCGCGAAGTCTTGTACACGAAGCTTGTAGGCGTAATCAGTCTTAAGTTTGTTTTGCAAAAAATATGCGTTCTAAAATACGTGTTTTTCTCGCTAAAAAATTGTCAGCTCAAGCGAAAAAAAATTGGCACAGCATGTTTCTAAAGATTTGCAAGTTTCAACCGACGCGGAAATGGGTAAATAAAGTAAACTTGTCGAGTTTTTCAACCCAAAACCTTTTCCAAATTCGTGCTTGCGTGATTAGCTCGCGAAAAGCAAAACATCTTGACGTCACAACCATGATTACATGCTCTCATGCAAACACGCCTCTCGGCCAATCAGAGCGCGCGTACTATCTTTAGTTAGTTATTGTATAAAAAAGAATTCATGCTTCAGCTGTGCGTATGTCGAGATATTGAGCACTTGGGAAGTTTAGAGAGCACTCAAGAGGCTAGGGTTGCTCTCGGCTGCGCCTCGAGCAACTCTTACCCCTCTTTCGTGCTCTCCAATCGTCCCGCGTGCTCAATATCTCGACATACGCACGTTGATGCATGAACTTTTTGTTAAGTTGAAAATGTGTGTTTTTTTAAGGAAACAGACCTATAACCTCGAATTAACGCTATTTAGGCTTCAATAAGCTACCTTTATGGAGATCTTTCAGGACATCTCGTATTGTTAACTGATTGGCTCTTTCTCTCTCAATTCGTCGATGGAAGCGATCATTTAATATTCTCTGTAAGGCCACTATGTCCGGAAGATATTGTAATGCACGGAGTTTGTGTTCCTTCACAAATAAATAGAAAGTAATTTAGTAATAAAAGTAGCAGATACATTTTTCCGGCGTCATTTATAGTCGCTAATCAAGTCAAACTTGGTACCTCATTAAGGAACCTTCCAAGAATCTTATGAGTGGTCTTGTTTGACTCCACATCATCAAAATTTCGTTTGACGAGTTCGACTGTTACGCGTGTCCTGTATCTCCAGAAGGCTGCATGCCCAGGGTTAATTTCTGTCACTGTTCGAGGAGGAGAAGGCGCATCAACCTCGTAAACCTCTCGCATGAGTGGGTCATTTCCTAAGTTTGGACAAAATTGAGTTAGTTAATGTCAAAGCTCTATGGAGCAAATTTCTTAGGACACGGAAAAAGTGGGTGCAGCTGGACTGGACAGTTACTGGAATGGATCATCACTGTTAAGATCATTTTGTTTGAGTGACAAATACGTTTGCGTAAATTTTAACACGTTCGTGATCAGCGCGCAGAATGCTTGAACGTCACTGGTTATTCATGATCCCGGATGCGGCTCATTCTAATGCTTGAAAAAGGAAGGCTGTCACGGAGGTGGGGTTGGATGGCACCCCTTGTGTTTTTTAAATTGATGAAGAGGATTTTATCTGGGCACTTGGTTAATTCAGTACCTGTTTGTTTATCTTTGAGACACATTTATTACAAAATTGGTGAAAATCGGCCCATAGATATAGCAGATATTAAATGACAAGTAAGGTATGGTTTAAGGGCTGATATGAAAATTCAATGGTAACTCATAAAAACGCTTTTAAGTTGAAAAGGGAAGTACAGTACACCTATGAGCAAGTATTTGATTTCTTTGTCTAATTTTCTTTTTTCCTGTCAAGTTCGATAATGTCACTAGACCCCAGCAGCCCATAATGTGAACATCATCGACATAACAGGCTTTCTATTACGGGTAGAAACGTTTCAAAATATCTTAAGTAAACTTAACGAAAATGCTAGATGGGAGGTATGAGTTTGCATGTACGTCAGAGGATCAAAATTATGATCGACTACACTTTTACAAGGGCAGCACCTTCAAAGTTATGACGTAATAATTTCAATTGAAAAGACAGCAAAAGAGCACTGGATGTAAAAATTTTTTCTAATTTGCGATCTTATTTATTGTCCTCACTGTCATCGCAAACAGGCGCAAATAGCACAGACAACATCATTTTGATGTAAAAGACATAATAACTGTTGTCATCGTTGCAAAGAAAAACGTGGGTTTGTCTTTGCCCGGTGCTCCCTTTCATTTTATAAGCAGTGAGAAGGTGCACAAAGAGCCAGAAGCAAATATGCAGTTACCCAGTCTTCTGTCGTTTACAGAATCCGCGTAGAAGGCCTGCAACCTTTCTTCTAGATCCTGTTGAAATAGAAGACCCATCATTACAAAAATGGTTATTTATAACCAGTGGAAACGTAAGATTGATTGATTGATCGATCGATCAATCAATCAATCAATCGTTTATTTACCCACGCAGCGTCTAGTGAACTAAATACGTAGGTAAGATAATATTTTCCATTCAAAATAGGAAATCCAAGTTATCTTTTTCTCGAGGCCTTGAATATGCCGCCTATAAAAGTAATTAATTTCATGTTCTCCCAATAATCCATTAACGCAGCCTGTAAGAGCACACGGGCTTCTGGTCAAAGGGCAACCATTGACCGAATACCCTATCGCATGTAAGTTTCTTTTTAAAATCATTAAAATGGTTTCAGTTTCCACAAGACTAAGTGTTTTAATAAATGGAAAATTAACTTAAAAGTTGAATATAAAAAAAGGCCGTGTGTTTTTTATGAAGTTGTTACCCAAACATCCATGCTTTTATCATGTTAACTATATAAACGGAAGCTTGGCTTTTAGGCCTGTCTAAATTTACATGTTACTTTCAAAACTGCTTTAAACAAACATTTCCGTAAATTACTTTTCCACGAAGCTCTTCGTTAATTGTTTGATAATACACAGATAAGATGCACTGCGACAGTTGGACTCAACTCGAACAAACATGTTACACATAAAACCGGTTCTAGTGATCAAATCCTGAGACCATTGCTTGAGCCTGATTTTTCTTCCAGCTCGGGAAAACCAACTTTTTTTTATGTAGAAACAAGACTTAGGAATTAAAAAGGCTACTCGATAGACAAATGAAAAAAAGCCATTTACCATTAAAATCTTTCTCACAAAGATAGTCACAAAATCATTCTCCCATTTTCTTCTTTGTTCTTTTGTGGACCAAAATGATATCTTCTCTAAGCCAAGCAGGCCACTTTCTGGCTCCAGAGATCCTATTAGAAAAGGAAAAAAATTGTAGCCAATTAAAACTTTCTCACGAACTTTTTTCTGCGCAGATCCTCTACATCTATCTTGCCCTCGCCGTTGGAGAGTACCCTTTCCTGCCCCGAATAGCACAACATCTACCAGTTTGATTTAGATCTTTCCTGCAAATTATGATCGATGGATTTATAAAGAAAGAAGGAACGAAAATAAATTAATGGCTTAGTATCAGTTGTTCAAGGTCTTCCATATTCTTGGGCGAACTGGAAACTGAGGAGAGGGCAGATAAACCCGCCTAAGCATTGAAAAAATCTCGGAGCAACGGAGGGAAACTATCGTTAAAATCGAGCCAGGGAAACACAAATGTGATAGGTGGGTGTTCTCACCACCATGCCACCCTTGCTTGACCAAAGTAAAAGACTGATAAAATTTGAACAAGTAGTGATTTCCAGACTTACTGTTTGTTGCCCGCCACACGATCTCAGATAAAACAAGATGAACTGCCAAAAGCACGTCATCCTCGCTCCTGTCTAAGCTTGTGGATAAACTTCGCACGTCATTGGCAAGATGTTCCCAAAGAAAGCTACAGACATCATCTTCTTGGACATCATAAACTATCAGCTGCCTTATTTGCTAAAAATATATAGTTAGTTTATTAAGATTAAAAGCATATCTAATTTTAAGCTTTGACTTTTAGAAACCCTTGTTATAACACTCCAAAAAAACCCTTTACCTAGAGACCCACTAGCATCAATCGCGGTGTCTAATGAAGTTAATTGCAGGAACTAGTGCTATAATTTTAATTCTTTATTCTTAAGTCAACTTGTTTTCTCTTTTATAATTTGCGATAGTTACCTCTGGTTGCCTACTGGCTGACACTAGCATGGCTGAATGGAGAATGATCCTTAATAGGCTTACAGTTGCAGGAGAAAGATCTCTTTCTGCGATTGATTTCTGGGGTACTCCTAAAATATGTCCTTTGGTAGAACGGTCAACACTGAGGAAAAAGAATTGTTTTTTTAAAGTAAGACAATAATGTGATACCACTATAATCAAACCTCCTTAACAAGTAAAGGATATATACTTTATTGCTCAATATTGTATGTAAGACAGGTTTACATTTTTTGTTAGTACTTAAAAGAAATCATTACCATATTGACCAGGAAGCCTTAGAAGCCCTTATGGGCTTATCGAGGAGACTCCTTGTCGGGTTACACCAATGGATAATCATTTGATAACTTGACAATTTTAGCTCAAGAAAATAAGGGGTTTTACATCATCAATATACCACGTAATTAGGTGCTCACATTAATTCGAATATATCAATAAAATATTACCAGTGTGCCATCACTGTTTCATTCTACCTCTTCTCTCATAATAAATATTCTCATAATGAATATTATATGGGGACAGAGGTCATGTGTCTAAACAGTATTTACAGAAGTTTATGTGTCCTAGACCGATTCGTCAATTTAACATAAGAAGTTTGGTATCTTTGGTACCAATAACCAGTCCAATAATAGAAGAGGGTCCAGATTAAAAAGTTGGTGTCAGTAAGGAAGAGTTTGACAACAGTATAGTATCACTCATTCGATGGTTTGTTATCTAGACAACAGGATTTTTTGTTGTCACTTGAAAGGAAAACGGGGATTTTACAAAGCGACATTCTTTCCTTGTCTAGCCTAGAGGCTTATCGCACTGCATCAAAACTGTTAGAAGAAGTCTTTCTGTGACTGAATACGGGTAACGGAGAAGTAAACTTAAACTTTTGACATTATGTGGGAAAAATCGCTTAAAATCATCGATTATTGTTTGCTTACGCTCGGACTAGAAAACTAAGTTGTCTTTCTCTTATCGTTTAAACTGCTTGAAGGCCTTCCCTTTTGTGTATTAGCGAGCCTAATTTATGTATGGCGTGGTGTACGCATAAACTTGGTAAAAAAACCTAGCAATTTCGCCCCTTACTCCTTCACCATTATAGTAGAAATAGTGTGATGCCTACTCTACAAACTAGAGCAGTGATATCTTGCCTTTGCCCTTTCCATTGTTGTTTTGTGGATTTGACAAAGGGCATGCTAGCCTACCTCGTGTTTACAGGTCTGTTGGATTGAGCCAATGTGTGTTTTACCCCTCCAATTGTTACGGACTCTGAGCAATTAGGACAATTGCGCTCCTGATCTGGTCTTCCACACTAGTGAAAAAGGAAGTGAAGTACGAGACTGATTCAGATAATGAACTGAAAGTGACGAAGAAGGTGACTTTGAAGAATTTTTGGTGTACGTTGATGGTTATACGACTTAATCTAATTTGTACTTACAGCAAAAATTGGTTAACAGGAGTCTTAATAGCTATCGCTTACCCATTTTTACTACTTAGGTAAGATAACTATGTTCTTTTAATTTCGATATTTTCAGTTTCTTATAAATGGTACTATAGTGGCGGAGTTTATGTGAATTCATGTAAGTTTAAACCGGAATTTAGTAGGGCCTAACCCCCAAAATTGATTCACGTGGTGAAGTAAAGAAAATTCGGGTTATGACGGAATAATATTCGCTGTAGCTAAGTGAAAGTTGATAGCTAACCAAAATTAGTAGTTAACTGAGAATTGGCCAAAAAAATAGTAGTTAACTGATTTTTGGCCGAAAAATTAGTAGTTAACTGAGAACTGGGTACCCCCATTAGCACCCTCAAAAAATCAAATAGACAAACAGAGGAAGTAAGAAGTAACTGTGTTTTGGTCACGTGCGCCTTGTACTGTTCTGCTCTTCTAAGTACAAGACCATTCTCAAGGTTTCGTCTATTTCAACTACCCTTTTATTGAGAAAAAAATTACTTTAAGAATTAAAGGTCATAATTTTCTTGCTAACTTAAAACAAGATACTTACGTCACCAACAAAGTATCGATGGCCTGCTGGACATTCTAAACAAAGAAAGACAGAGGACGCTGAACACACTGAAGTATAACATTGATTTGGGATTCAGTAATTAAGAGATGAACCTCTAGTTAGTAAAGTTCTTAAAAAGTTTAAATTACCCATTTTGCGACAACTTTATTGCTATAGATACAAACTGGATAATTCAGTTATTATTCAATTTTCTTAATTATTCATTCAAGATATTTCACCATTTCTGATTGGCTCTACTCCTCCGGCTTATTCCTCATAATCAGCCACCACTTACCAAATTTGGAAGACGTAGGCAATATTCCACCGTTACGATGAGTTATAGCCCGCGACCTCGATTGCAGGCAAGGGTGCGGCAGCCTAACTGTGTATGCACAAGTGAACACCAAAAATTGTAGAAAGAGCTTAATACGAAATAGCCGAATTTCAGACTAAAACTGAGCGGAAGGAATTGAAAAATATGCAAAAATGTTTCTCCGCTGATTTCGTCTAGTTTCTAAAGAACAGAACTAGAAAAGCATCTAATTAAACCTTGAAACCGTGCCGAAAAACAGCCAAATGGCTTGAAGAAAAAGTTTATGACGAGAAGAACTAAGTACTAAGGATTGCACATACCATAAAACTGACCGCCCTCCTTCATCATGGCTGACAATGTTTCATCAAGGCTGTCTTCGGGCATAGTTGGGAGATAGGTGTTCTAAAAAAGTAACGAAAATAATGGAAAATGTCATTTGAAAAAAAAAAAAATCGCACTATCTGGTAGGGTACAGAGGTTTTATTTTAGTACCTAACGGTAATTAGAATTTATTTTATGAAATTTTAAGGAAATCGCATGATAGAAATCCAAAATTGACCCGTTTTGTTGTCTTAACCTCTGCCTTTATGTCTCTATTGTAATTTTAACTTTCGGAGAATCTTCGTTACAAAATATCAGCCTTAAAGTATTGATCCTGGCGCTCCTGTGACAACTACGTTTAAGGCATAAAACCAATTATTTTGTTCAGAAATAAATATCATTGTCACACGTAACATTAATTTTCCTATATCGAGTCATTAAAATTTTGCAACACACTTCTCTTTCGGCTTACCAGTACTTTTTCCGGATTCAGAAGAATCGCACTTAAGGGCTCCAGCAACTCATCAAAATCGATACACTCGAGGACTGAAGCTGCATGTATCAACAGCTCAGTCAAAGCGTTTTCGTTGTCTTTTTGCCTCCCTGAGACTGCGAGAAAAGGAAAACTCTTCTCTGTTGAATTTTTCAGAAGTGGGCGAGCCAAACGCCGTCCCTATAATAATAAGCAAACACACTGAACAAATGAGTGTGATGGGTTATCACCTACTCATTACCTGACAGACCATCAGTCAATCAATCCATCAATCAGGCAATAAACCAAAGAAAAAACCGACCAACCAATCAGTTAATCAGCCATTCATATCCCCCCAAAAATAAACGATACAGTTATGACCTCCGTGTTACCAGTTCGATGCCCTTCCAAGTACAAGTCAGTTATGAAATCTTAGGCGAATTTTAAATTTTTATGACTAAAATTCTCGGGCTTCCTTCTGCAGTTGCTTAAACTAGGTGTATAACAAGGACGATGTTTATTTTCTCATTTCACAAATTTCATGTCATTGATTTACAGTGCGACCGGAAAAACTATGAACACCTGACACGTCAGTAACCTGGGAGCAGGCTCACTTGTGCGAGTTTGGGAAACATTTCTCGCGGCGGAGCCGCCAATGGGACAAACTCATAGAGAAACAGAAAAGCGCCTGTATTTGTCCTTTCACCAGTCACTTGCGCTCCAAAGCAATTGTTGCTTTCAACATATCATCTACTACTCTGAAATATATAGAACAAGTGCATCACAGATTAAAAAAACATGAACGATTTATTGTACACTAAAAACTTATCACCAATTCAACGTTCAGCCGATATTTCGGAGCCAATTTCCACAATTTTAACATTAGTTTAGGCAAAATTTTACCTTTTCGATTTTTTTGGTTTCGATTAAACCCAACTTATAACTGTTATTCAGTTTTTTTGTCCTCAAACATTCCTGACATATTTAAGGTGTTCACGGGATTTCCCTGTCGCACTCTTGATAAAAGATAGTAAACGTGGTTCAATAAGGTCTGTACGAAGCCGCTGTGAGCTCTGATTTGCGGGAAAGAAAAATTAGAATTTACTTGGCCCTAGTTGTGAGAGCAGCGCCTTACCTTAAAAAGAACATTCAGACTTACTGTTTTAGAAAGAAATTTGCCACGTTTCAAAATGACATCTTTTACCATTTGGCACGTCTAAAAGGTAGAAAGTAGACAAAATTAAGGGTGATATAAAGGAATTAAAGGGTGCAACTAGACGGGCAATTTAGTCATTTTAGACACATTGCAACCTAATTTCAGTGACAAAAGTGAAAGAGAACCTCAGATGAAGACTCAAGCTTTTCCAGTATAAAAATCAGTAGAAGTGAAAATAGGATGTTAATATCAATAACAGCAATCACAATGGCTGCAAACATTTGACTTTTACTATTAAATGGTGGTTGCGTGACTGAATTGTTAAAATACTTTATCCAGAATTCAGGAATTGAAATATACCTTAGAGCCAACTTGTTGCTGGTTTTCCCCCTCCCCCGGCAACACTCCGACTTCTCGGTACAAAGCCAGGAGTATTATGACATCTTTTGCATGTCGGGGCATACCATCCATCGCCTACAAGAAACGTGAACATCCGCACAAATTTAAAAGCTGGTAGAACGCAAGGCCATGGAGATATAGCTGATTCATTAAATCCTCGGCATTAATGTTGAAGTTGACAAATTGACTGAGAAATGGGCAAAAGTTACCTCCAATGATGCAATAAGTTCATCCATATTTTCACTTAACATGGCGCCTGCTAAAGAATCTCTCAGTTTGTGATAGTACTCTCCGTAAACCAAGAACCTGTCTAGCGTCATTCCATCACCCTATTAAAGGTTAACAAACGCTTAGCGAACAAGTTTGGGGGAAAGATGTAGAATGAACAAATTCCATTTTCCTGACTTAAACTGGTTTTGCATTTCTAGGACTTTCATTACAAAGCAAGATTGAGAAAGATTGCTTGAAATCCCTTACCCCTATTTGTCTGAATTCAGCAGGAACTATCCAAGAAAGCTCTTCCTTTTGAGATACTGTGGCAATGGAATTCACTCCGTAACGCTTAACTAGCTGTTTGAGGAGAAAGATACTGGGCGAACTGGACCGGACGGAAGCACACAGCGCCTGGACATGATTAAACAAAGGGTTTAGGACTGCGCGTGTTTTTTGGTTGGACCATCTTTCATCATCACTGACGACACTCATATACATAAACTCTGCGATCTTGGTCAAAGCGCAGCGCGCCTTTGCTATAGCTTCCAAGGAAGACACATTTAGCTCATCACAACCTGAGACGTCCCTCGTCAGGAGTTCTAGTGCACTTTGGCATAAATCATTGACAATACCAATGGTAACTTGAACTTCGATGACGGAATTCTTGGCACAGTAACTGGCCCAAAAGTTCTGAAAAGGAAGAAGATAAACATGATAAATGCCTTCCGTTAAAAGACACCCTTTGGAATTACCAGCTTTTTTTCCAAGAACTGAAAACTATAACGGAAGCTTTAAAAGAAGAGTTGAAGCTAAAAAGGCCGCCGCACCATTTACACTTGAATGACGTTCACTTATATCATATTCGTAAAGTAACACAATATATATTGGATCCTTGCCTACCTCCATGCATTGCACAACGAGGAGACAAACTTTCAGAACATGTGGCGTTTCTGAGGACAATCCCTGAGCTTTGTAAAAGAACCGTTCAAGATGCCTCATGGCCTCCTGGTCACTAAATATTTAATAGAATTAAACACAGAAAATATTATTATTACTATTCTCATGTCCATACAGTTACATTCGCATACGTCATGTCGAATGGATGAAACCATCGTTCCTATCTTCACTGGGTTGTTCGTATCACGTTAAATCATCGTTTTAGCTCCGGCAATGTTGGCTCTCACTAAGGCCCACGCGCTACCTTAGTAATATAGTTACGTTTGTGAAAAACGTATTTGTCGTGAATCATAGTTGTGACCAAAAGCCCTTGGAAAAGTGAGGGAGAATCAATTTGCAGAATACTCGTAATGATGCCGAATTTGCCCGTTGGCGAATTTGTCTTTGTTTTCAAGCTTAAAAACGATTGCAAATTCCGACGGAAAAATGCAACGGCTACACGTGTGTGTTACAATTGAATCCGCCCCAAAACGAAAAACACCCAAAACTATTCCGAACCATATCAATGGAGCATGTTGACCAATGTAAAGAGACAAACAGGCCTAAAAATGCTGATCTATTCCACAAACCAGTGCTGATTTATGCCACAAATGCTGATTTATGCAAAGATATAGAATCTCACCTGGAATTAATAAGATGTTGTAAGAGAAATGATCTGACTATAGGACTGGCGTCCATTCCAAAGGTAGGAAATGGAGAAAAGGCTTTTGTTTCTGTCAACTCCTCTCCCATGGCATATCGCATGAGCATTTCAAACACGTCTGGATCCAACTTAGCAATATCTTCCCCGAAACAAAATACAGAAACGATATCCATGAAAAACGCGTTGCAGCGCTGAAGAAACTGTTCATGACTTTCCATGCCGTCTCTGCACAGGAAGAAAAGAACATCACAGACATGTTGATGGTAAGCGTAAAATTTAATACAGTTAAAAAGAAGAATAGTGGCGAATAAGGGTGGAAATTGTGATTATATTTGAAACGTAAACAACTTATACCATACGGCAACAATTTTTTCCACAAGTCAGCTGTTACTTATAAAATCGTAACTGAAGCTATTTACTTCTTATGTTGTTGAGAAGAATCCTCACTGCAGCTTAGTAAAAATCTTTCAACAACATCAAGAGAGGCTTTCTTTGAAAAGTCTGTCCTTTCACCCAAAGCCTGGAAGAGAAAAAGGAACGTTTTAGGGATCAGGATCATCTTCTGAACAGTGAAAAACGAGGTATTAAGAAAATATGATGAAAGCGCTTTTCGAACGACTGATCATGAAGGAAATAGAATTAGCAGTGGTTTGGTCAAATGTTAAAAGCATTACAAATCGCGAAGACGGTGCTCAGATGGAAATCCCACGGTAAACTGAAGAAAAAACATGCACCCTAAAAGAGACTGGATATTTACAGGAAACTGGACCACTATAGGAGGTGTTTTCCCAGGAAAAGAGCTTCTGAGCGTAGATGAATGAGTGAATTTGCAAATGGCCTACGCTTCGCGTGGGGTTTATAATAAGTAATAAGTACAACCACAGAGTATGAACCTTTAAATATAGATAATAAACCGAATTTATCCTATTTCTTACCTTCCAAAGCTTCAAAATTATCTGCTCAACATCGGGATTGATCTGTGATGGGTACACATTCTCAATGAACATTCTCACTGCACTCAGACGTTGCCACATGTACCTGAAAATTTTAAAGAAGGCTGGTCGATGAATTCTTGACAGTTGTTGAGAAAAACCAATTTCTATCTAAAATCAATAAGAAATATTATTTAGGAAAACCTGCACTGTGTGAGTATTGCTTCAGTTTTTTCTCCAACTGTTGGCCTGTCTTTGAATGATTTACCAATCATTGCTTCCACTGGTACTTTTAAGGATAATACTTCATCACACCAATCCCGCCTTGGTGTTGGCCCTGAGACATTTTCTTGGTGAGGCTCTAAACTCTCCAAACACATTTGCAAGGCACAGGCGTCTGCACACTGTAAAATAAAATGCGTCAGAAACGGTTGAAATGAAAAAAATAAACACCAGATTTTCCCAAGGCTATACTACCATTTACCAATGGAAAATCGACCTCTGATCAGGTCTGCGTTTTATATTTTTTATGTCAGGAATCTAAGATGCTAATTACGGTCCAAAACCTTACATAATTACTTGACTACGAGAGTGAACAGATATGCATTTGCTCGTGTTTTTTTTTTAGTTTTTTTGTTTTTGTCAGTGTACTCCTCTTTGCCATTGCCCGAAAAAGTCACATTGTTATGGCACAGGCTTCCAGAAATTTGACTTGTGGTTTGATGAGAATATACATGAAAAAGATAAAAAAAAAAAAAACATACGTATAGGCCTTACCATCTCGTTTTCATCCCAAGAAAAACTGCTACATAGCTCTGGTAATATATCAGTCTTGTAATGTAGTAGCTGTGACAGCCAAGTAAGCCGTTGCCTTATACGGAAATGTGCTGTATGTATGGCTGCCAAGTCCAATTCAAAAGGTCTTCCGATGGACCTCTCAGAATGCATTTCTTTTGCCGCGGCTACAATCGCTCTCAGAACAATCTGGAAAAAAAGATGAAAAATTTTCTTGAAGTGAGGCTAAAATACAATTTCTATTTTGGGGGAACGCCACTCAAATAATCATACATACAGATCAAACAGGATAACGATTCCCAACTAGCATGAGAAAAAGCAATTGGTTAATGGCAAGGGCGGGTCGACTGAAGTGTCCAATTCAAAGCATATCCAGCTAGTAATGTTCGGATTACTTTCATTCATCAACGTCAAATAGGAAAATGGTCAACTGTTACCTCTAGTTCGTATTCTCCTTGAGGTGTGTACGTCATGTGCGCAAAATCGTGCAAATAGCGGTCTGCCACCGCTTCCCCGCCATCGGAGATGGCTTCTGACAAAATTTCATGTACTTGTGAATTGTTTAGCAGGTTCCGCATACATTCAGTTGTGGATTCATTGGAGTTAACTAAAATCGCGATAACAATGAAATAAGTATGGCGATCAAAGTAAATGAATGAATGACTAGTGGCGTTTACGCGTATTCATGAGTATGAGATCAGTCTTAACTAATTTCAAATATATAAAGTACCACCACATTTTCTTAGGTGTCGAGAATTTCTGCGCCTCTAATTTCAGCACAGTCTAGAACATTAAGTATATTAGAATATGTCGAGAAAAAAATTAGATTACTGAACTAATTTTTGAGCAATAACACTTGAAGGTCAGGGTAAGGATGTTCTCAACAGAAGTATACTATTGCTACGACAACCATTAAATCAAACAATATTCGGCCATTTTAGCATCATTATTATAGCATCAACAGAGAAACAGTGGTGTAATTGATTCATCAGATTTAAAGTCTTGAATACAACTGGGATCTGTATTGCCATGCACTTTGAACAGCGATTAAAGAACGGTAATTTATTCCCTGTGACGAAATGCAGCTTTCAAACATTCTGGGTTAATCAAATTCCGTTTACATTCTCATAGACGCACAGACGCACATAACAAACTAATTAATTTCTTAACTTCGCAAAAAGCAATTTATTTGGAGATTTCCTTTACCTGCTATATTCCGCGCATCTCGATGCAACTCGTCCATACGCTCCTTGAGAAGCCATGAAAATGGTAACTTGCACTGAAATGAATGGGAGCGATATCCTGATTTTTGGACCGGAACCTTTCTTCTCAAAACAGAGGCATCTCCCTTTTGGACCAAAAAGTCATCGTACTCTAGTTCAGTGAAAGAACTGTTTCGAAGAACTTTCAACCACAGGTTTACGATCCAATCGTCTTCGCTAGCTGCCAGTTCAAGATTTCCATCTCGGTCAACATATGCAATGAGTTCTGCCAGAAATGGGGCGACAACGGACTGGAAGCGACGCCATAATGCCTTCTTGAACGTTCCAGTTTCTTTTGTAGTGGCAGATAATGCCTCAGTTTCAAGCCATTCGTTTCCTTCATTCGGTGCTCGTAGATCTCTTTCTTGCAACAACTGATAGACACGTTCTGCAAGCACTGCCTCAAAACTTTCTTCACCTACAAAGGTTTGTCATTATGAGCTATTATGACCACTTAATTTATAATAACGTTTCTTTACTCTATTAGGGTTTTGGCAAGCGGATTTAGCATCGTTAATTTTTTTAAAATAAAAGAGTGATACTGCGTGTGCCATACAGTAATTCTCAATAACTTTTCCTCCTGTACTGAACTTTTGATAAACTAATGTAACAGATTGTGTTGAAAAAAAAATATCAGGTACGAACTTCACCATGGGTTATCTGTTAACATTCCTCGATCGACATAAAAAGAGGCTGTAAAAAGAAGTGTCTTGGTTGTATTGAAAAATAAACAGGGTATGTCTTCTAAAGATATTTTAGCCAATCGTCTTTTTGGTTTGCAAAATAGTCTCTGTAAAAAATGTAGCAGTGGGTACTACAGCCAGATCTCCTTAGTGTAAGAAGAACACTGAGGCAGAGCCGTGCTCTCAATGCAGAGAAGAGATCAAAAGAGAAAAGAGAGAGGTAACAGCGACGATAGGGTTTGACTGTATCATAACATGTCTTGCAAACGCTCTAGATGAAGAACTGTTGTCAACAGTACCAACAGAAATTTATACATACTTTCATGAGTTATAGTCGTTTTGGGTGAAAGTAAGCTGACCATCAGTACAACTCTTCGTGTGGCCCTTTCAACAGTGGTGTCATCATCCTCAATCCTACTAGCAGCTTCCTGCACACAACTAGTTAGCACCTGCCGCACAGTGAAATTATCTTCTGTCTTGTTTATTGCACTCTCAAATATTCTGCTTACAGAGCGGCCCGTCATAGCTTCAATGTGTGGTATCTCCTCACTCGGTGGGCAGAGCTCGTCAATATGAACTGACAACCAACCTTCTCCTTGAACTGCAACAAAATCGGGGCATCCTCCAGCCACTCTAGCCAGTTGCACAATCATCAAGATGTGAATGGACCCAATGCATTCTTCATCCAGCTCCTTCTCCGTTTCTCGGCACTCTTCTATGAGAAGATGTCGGGCACAAGCAACCAAGTCTAGAGTTCGGTCCGTGGAATCACATTGAACTATCAGTAGGCCTTCTCTGCCTCCAAGTTTTGCAAAAAACTCTCTCCTATGATGAAGGAAAAACAGTGATGCTAGAATTGGATTATAACCTTTAACCTTTCACTGGAAGTAAAATGCTTTATGGAAATGCACGCTAATAAATACGATTCATGCCCTTTTATGAATGACATCAACATCACGAAGTATCCCCTAGCCCCAATTCTCACCTAAAGGCAAACCGCTTTGTCAAAAACGAGGTAAAAAGTAAATGAGAAATTGAAATTGTGTTTAATACGTACGTACTATTTTATAACAGATTTTGTGATTCTTTTACCATCATAACTAAGCTTACCCAATGCAGTTGCAGAACTGTTGCTCAGTTTGGAACTGCTGTAATGAGACACATTTCACACAGCCTTCAGGAAGGCCCGTAGCTTCCGCTATGGATATGATGTCGCGGTCAGAGAGTAAGCGGGAATGTGTCGAAATCTGCAAAAAGTGTTTTTTCTCTTGAGAAGGTAGAAAAGGTCTTCAAATAAGTTGTGTACTAAATAACGCCTGGTCTGTTAGGCGCTCATTTCTCAAAAAGGGCCAGCAAAAACCGCACACAGCGTTCCATCTCAGGTTAAAATACATTAAAATCCGCATTCATCCTCTTTTTAATGCGAATGTTAATGCATAATTGGAATATCAAAGCGAAACAAAACTGCTTGTTCTTCGTTAAGAGCTTTTCTTTGCAAAGTTATTTTTTCTCTTGATTATATCATCTAATGGCAGTTTCCTGTCAAGGACGGATTCTTGTTGATTTACTTATCGGATTATTTTCATTAACTCAAAGTTGCGTTTTATTCACAAAATTTAGAAATTTAGTTCCTTAGCTTAGCACGAACTATGATAAACAAGAGTACTCATGAAGTTATCTTACTTGAGCACGCAGTGCTGCTGCTTTTGTTGCTTGTAATTTGAGCTCCTTCAGAGTTTTTACTAAAAAGTTAGCCAAACTTGAGTGTTCCTGCTCCCGAAAGTACTTAGTCCACAAACTAGACGCCTCTCTTATCAGACGAGACGAATTCAGACGAGCTACAGAATCAGGAGTCGCGCACTGTAATAGACGTTCCTGGGAGCACCTCAATATCTGAAAAATGGAGAGAAAACAAGCAATTTAGATAATCTTAAGCAATAAAATAGGGGAAATCCTATGGGAATCAAGAGATCAGAGAGGGTTACCAGCAACACTACCGAGAGTTTTCTGCGGCTGTCACTCACAAAATCCTCGCGTGATAGCTGAGTTACTAACACCATTTGAGTCTCCAAGGTTTTTTCATAGTTTTTCTTTAGGGTCAAGGTAATTTTATAGTCTCGTTTTTTCTTTTAAGTAGCCAAGAAACGAAATAAAAACATGTAAATAAATGAATAAAAAAATAATTAAAATAGTGACATAAAATGAGGGAAAGTACCTTCTCTTGCCATGCTTCCCTTTCTACATCTGATAAGTCGGAGCCGTCTTCATGAAGTTCAGCACAAACTTGCAACACTACAGCTGGCACGCAATCTTCGTGGTAACCAATAAATGCGTCTCCTTTTGTGAATGTTCGGCTGAAGGCAAATATATTCCTCTTATTAGCCGAGTTTTCGGGCCGTACTGTAAATTACGTATTTTACAGTCCGGACCGAAAAAACAAGGCTAATAAGATGTTTATTATATGGCTTCTTCCAGTTTCGCGAACCGGAAACAAGTGCAGGACGCGCGATTTGACAATCATTTGACAGGCGTCAAGAAAGAAAGTTTTTATTGGCTCACAAAAAACAATACCACACAACAAAGGGTTTCCGAGAAAGTGAAAACAAATTCGCCATGTTGAAAAAGTTCATTTGGTCAAAACTAAGAGTGCTGTAAGTTTTAGCTCTTTAATGTAACGCTGGAGTATTTTGAAAACCCGGCACCGTGAATTGTTGGCACTGTGTCTTTCTCGAAGTCGTTTCCATCTTTCCTCCGTTGGTCCTTGTAAAAAAAAAGAACACTGCAAAAGGCAAAGAAGGTTTTCAAGGTAAGTTTCTTGTCATTGTCGAAGATTCGCTCGTTAATTTTTTTTGGAAAAACCTCTCGACTTTCAGCCAGTTCATTCATTAGTCTTCAAGCGTGATCTGCTTTAAAATTTTCAAACACGGACCATATTTTCTTCCACGCAAAGGTTACGATTCAGTTTCTACATCAGCTTCGTTCTCGTTCAAATAAAGCTAGGTTAAAATCTGGAAAAGCAAAGTCAACATCCCAGAACTAAGAGCACTGTAATCACAGAGCACTCTATCTTTCTTTCGTTGATCGGGTGCAAGCATGTTTGTTATCATATTTGTCAAAGAAATTACTCAGTTTCTCTTAGGCAAAACTTATCGAATCTCTGCCAGTCGATTTTCGTCTTCTTAACTGTGTACTACGATAAAATTTTCAAACACTGACTAGAATCCTCTTCGATAAGATTACGAGTTAGTTTGTTCATCGCCTTCGTTCACCAATAAAACACAGCTCAAAATGTTGAAGCACAAAGTCAAAATCTAAGTCCTCAAGGTTGACAGACGTCTTGTAACTTAATTTCAACCTTTTTTCCGAGGTAGGAAGAGATTTAGAGCTCCGAAATGAGCATTTTCTTTAAAATTTCGGTCCGTAAAGCAAGTTACGGACCGCAAATTGACCAACCGCATGGCGAAAACAGACTCAGCCATATAATAAATATACATATTTCACTGTTATTTAAGTGGTAAGGTACCTGTTGAACCCGGCCGTAGAAACACAAACACATAATTGCTATGAATCGTGCATGCATGTGAAGAACCCAGGTGCCTTAGTGTGATTCAGAATAAAGATGCACTGACACAAATCAGTCTTGAGGATTTCCGCAGTTACTGTATGTTCCATCGAATGCAAATGGGATGGGAGTTTTGTAGTATTGGGTCATAACAGGTAATATTTGATTGTTCAAAACCAAAGCTAAGGTGGAGGTAACCTTGGAGAAAATATTAATGCAAATTTCAACCTCTTTCTTTCATACGCCGGACGACAAACTTGTGCAAAGTCCTCCACCCAGCCTTGTAAATCCTTGGTTACGTCCTTCTGTGCTTCAGTGAGGCCTGACGACATGACCAGGAAGTGCTTCTCCATGCGGTTAATAAGCGGAATGGAAAACCTGTTGTAAACTACATCCTTCTCGGCGATAACAATAAGCCTAGAGAGAAAGCCAGTTCGAGGAACTCAGAAATTCATCGTCTGTTCTAAGGATACTGAAGATGTTATACTAAGTACTAATATTTTTTGGCCTTTTCCTGACGCAATTTGGGTCTATCCATTATTCTTAGAGCATGAGACTTTGGACGATAAAGTTACCAGTATAAGTCACTAAAAATCGACATTGTTACAAAAACAAAAAACAAAATGGAATTTTTTGCGTTCTCAATAAACTCTAGGCAGTTTTTCCCAATGTCACTGGCGAGCCTTGGCGTCTCATCCAAAATTTTCAGCATAATCACAAGATACGCAATGTTCCTATCAATTTTCCCATCCAAAGGTTCAGTTGTTACCTGAAATCTTTGTGAACACGGCACTTTACCCGGTGGTTTCCAAGCCCAAGATCAACATATTTCTCTCCACCAAAAGTGACGTAGTACTATGTAATTAAATAAAATGACAATTAGGCATACTCTTTATTTGCTATAGTCAGAATAAATAAGTAAAGCAACACATGCCACAGGAAGTTACACTTGAGCACCCTGCCCCCAAACTGCCATTCCAATTTTATTTAGGAAAACAACAAAGCAAGCTAATTGGTCTCATTTGTCTTAAAAATCACAAAGGGGTCCTTCATTTCTTTATCGAACAGTAATGTTGCAAATTGTTTGCGAATTCCTTAGATTGGTAATTTTTTAACTGACCTGATTTAGAGCATCGTAAAGGCTTTCGTAGAGATTGTCAAGATTTAACAGTATCACAGTCCTGCCTGTTTCCATGCACATCTTGACGCGGTTTATGTTGCGGCAGACCTGTGATAATAAAATTGCCCACGCATCATTAGGAAAAAAACGACAGCTGTCTGAAAAGGAGCAAGTTAAGTAGTTTTTTTTCGAGACAATTTTCCTTTTTTATTTCTAACGCTTTTTCAAGACTGATGGGGGAAACTAAGCACAAAAAGGGGGTCGCAAACTACAGGAAATCATTGGAGGAATGGAAAACAACCACGTGACTAACCAGTAATGTGCTTAAAGAGGGCTCTTTCCGAAGCAAAGACCTTCTTTAATACAAATTGGGAATGAAATTAACTCTTGCCTGAGTGAACAACTGGTCCTTTGGGAAACTGCTGCCAAAAATAACATATGGCTCCTCTTCGTCCAATTCAAGCAAAAGCTGCTTAATTCTTGGTAAAGCCGCAAAATGTTCAGTCATAATCAGCAAATAGCGGCCCTCTCTATAAAGAAACATAATATTGAAAAGATCAAGTTAAAAAAAGAGCATTGGAAATGATATTTGACATTCGCAAATAACGTTACTGTTAAAGAAGGGAGAGTGTGCTGGGAGACGCAAAAATCAAAGAGAATCAAAACTGGATCTGCCTGTCAAGTTGCTTACTAGCTACACCGTGGATTCGTTGCTTGCATCAGATGAAAGTTTTGAAACAACTATCCTTCACAAAAAGAAATAATAATAATAATAATAGAGAGTGCCACAGTAAAATGGAATTCGTCTAACTAGTCAGAGTAAAAAGAAGTACATAATGCGGGTTATTGATACGCGACAAACAAGTGAGTCAATTTTTTCCCGAGGACAAACTGGCAGCGATATTTCATTTGAGGATTAAATATGCGGTAAAAAAAGACTCGTCAGGAGGACAACCATCACGAATACAGCAAGTAGGGAATTCATTGAACATTTCAGACTACTATCAACTCACCCCATTAAGCTTTCGCCACTCAAGCTGTCCCGAATGAGGCTCAGATTTTCAAGACCCAGGTGGTCCTCCTCATCCTGTAAGCAAAGGGGAGTAATTAACAATTACGGCGTCGGCAAATAATTTATCTACTCGCCACTGACAAATCACGATATTTTGTGATAACCGAGTTCAGTAATTGTTTTAACATTCGTTCACCAAGTTTGTTTTATAGTGATAATCTTCGGAAAGCGAAGCGCTCCTATATTTTAACACAAGAATGATCGAAAAAAAGAGAAAAGAGTGGTTTCATTTACGCATGAGCAGAATATTATCTGCAGCCGAACACAGTTGAACGACATGGCGCATGAGCAGACCATTATTTATAGGCAATTATTTGTAGGTCACGTGGTGCGCTCTAGGTCAATGAAAAGGAAGAAAAATTTGGATCGAATGATATCAAACCTTTGGTGATGTTGAAACTGCTAGTCTAAGAAAATTTTTCGACCTATACATAATAAAATTAAGAATTTGTTCATGGTTAGCGTGCATATATCGAGTTATGGATGCACGCGGGAAGTTGGAGAGCACGAAAGATGCGTAAGATTAACCACAAAATTCTCGTAACGCGCGACACAATAACAAACGCTTTTATTGGCTGATTACAAACACGCCACAATGGTCTAGTTTGAATGAAAATTCTTCCTATAAAACTGAGAAAGAAAATTTCCTTATTTATTCGTTAACGATCAATTAAAACTAAAAAGAACAACAGGTAAAAGAGTGTGAAGTCCACCTAAAGTGAAAATACTCACATGTTCGTAAGAAGTCGTGGAGTATGATTTGGATATGCTTAAAAGATATTTATGTTTTGCTCGGCGAAATCCAGAAATCTTTGACAGAAAACTTGTTTTTCAGCGAAGACGACTGTCATCCTACGTTAACCTTATTACGGCTTCTTGAGAAGACCTGGCAGCAGTTGTTTTTGTGAGTAATAAATTTATGTCTTCTTGTGTAATTTGTCTTGTTATTGCCAGAGAAATTTTCCTTTTTCAGTCGGATTGTTCGGCGATAACAAAAGTGTATAATTTTTTGCTGTTGAGCTTACTTTATAGTTTTGTAGGATATAAAACAAACGTTAAAAACGGAGGACACTTTATACAAATTTGATATTTTCCGACACAGACCAATTTGTGCTCCTTTTCCAAGTAAATGTCAGTCTTTACGACAGACTTTTCAACGAATCATTCAGGCTCTATTATTTGCAAAACATTTTCACCGCTTTTGCTGTTGCTTTGAGTGGCTAGAACGAAGCTAAATTCCAAAAAAAGTCTAGAAAGTTTTTTATCATTGCCGTCCATTTTGGGGTACTTAGGAAAAGCGACGAAAAACACAGCTGAACACGTCATCTTATTTACGCACGGGTGTGCGTAAATGAAGATTTTGTTCATAGCGGCTCAATAGGACTTATGTAGGGCACACTCTAAATCAGAAAGATCTGTTTTAGCCCTAAAAACAGGGCCGTTTCGGTGAGTAAAATACAGTCCTATTTTTGGGTCTAATTTGGCTCCCTTAAATCAGGGCCAATACAGTCCAATTAGCTAGGGCTGATTTGGTCCCAGGGCTGAAATGGGCCCTACCGTGGGCTGGAATAGCCTTTTGATAGAGCTTTTTGGCCTAAATTGTGCTCAAATGGCTCCAAGAAGGGCTGAATCAGACTTTGGCCTGCAGGGCTGAATTGACACTTTGGGGCTGAAACAGATCTTTTTAATTTACAGTGCAAGCACGCGCGCTATGTTATAAAATGTCTTGTTTATCCTTGTTGACACAAAAAATCGTATCAGTTCAAGCCCGTAAGAATATGGCAAGCAAGAGCCACCTACATTAATATGAGGTAAATGAAAAGCGATGAAACACCTATCACCTTATTAGTTTGGTAATACTTTAATGTTGGCATGGTATGACTTTCTGCGCTGTGATACACGATATACAAACTTTTTAATCAGATGGAAATCAGGTATAATTGTAAACTTGAAAAGATAGCAGTGCCGCAGCCAGGATTGATCAAATGTTAAAAAACGTTCTCTGGCTGAAAATGTTTAAAAAATACAAGCTTTCGATCATCTGAATTACGGTCCTCAAAGGGTAAAAAAAGGAAAATGAAAAATTCTTAATTATAGTTTGATAAAAATACAAAAGAATGAAAATTTAAAAATTCACTTTTGTTACGAAAATTTTATAAGTAAGAGGGCTACATGCTTAAGAATCTTGAAATAATTCAATTAAAAAAATTTCTCTAACAACGATGAGCCCGTTTGGGCATACATTTGTCTGAATCTCTCCTAAATGGCCTCCTTGGGGAGAGGGAAAAGTGGCCGTTATGGAGAGGTTTAAACTAATCAATGTATGGACTGTCAGTGTCCGCCAAAAATAGCGGCTGTTGTAGAAAGGTGGTGGAGGAGTGGATGTTAGTGGAGGTTCGACTTTAGTTATTGAACGGAAAAAAATACCTTTAGTAAAGTTCAAAGAATAGCCGATAAATCAAGCCGCATAGGAAGCCATGATTGTGAAATGATTGTCTGTTTTCTTGCGTTGCTTTTATTTGCAGTATTTAAAAGTGCAAAGCTAACCTGTAGAAATTCGGGTGGAAAACCCAGGTGTTGCTTAATAATTTTCACGGGGACAAAATCCTCCTCCAATAATCCCCCGAAATTTCTTTCAATGGCTTGTTCAAGCTCTTGCCAGTTTGGAGAACGTCTCTGTTTCTTTGCAATGTGGAAGACCATCTTCACAAGACTGAAATAATAAGAGACAAAGATAATTAACATTCCTTTACAATGATTTTCAGCGAGGCATAGAAATAAAATCTACCCACAGTCTCAGGGGGGTTTCAGGAAAAAACCTTATGTACACTGTTTAAGGCACAAAAATAAAAACAATGCGCTTGACTACTGGCGCATCATACTCAACACGGACAGACCACAGTCCTTACAAACTTGATCAGCATCGATAAGATATGTAATTCAAGCTAAACAACACACCTGTAGAAGTCTCTAAGACCGAAAAACTCGTCTTTCTTTCCATGCTGTAATCTTTCTATGTTTTTCTGTCTTTGGTAGAGGTCACGGTAGGCGGTGACTAAAGGAGGTATTAAATTCTCCAGCCAAGGCATAATGTCGGAGTCACCACCACAAATCCCTCTATAAAGTAAAAAAAAAACAATGCATAAAATACTAATCCCGCGAGCACCTTCAAAATTATCATGAGATATTGCTAAAAACCAGGAAATCGACTGAAATCGTACAATCTGTGAAAGACAATTTTTGTGTACCTTTGGGCTTTCTTTTCCCACTCCGGCAAAACATATTTTTGTCTTCTCTGTTTTGTGTCCCGCGCCAACGTTTAATGTTCTTCCAAGTTTGTTGAAATATATATATTTACCCTATTCTTATCTTAGTATTGTAACCGTGGTGAAAGGGATTAAATAAATAGACCGCATAGTCATCATCCCCAGCAGTTCCCCAACACCTTTGGAAAGGTTATTGCTCCTGTACAATTGTGGTTCTTTTGGTAACACACTTCCTCCCTTCTGACGCATTACCTGTTGCTATCTCACAGAAATCTTAACACCAGAAAAAAATACCTGGCAGTTTCTTCAAGCTCATTTTCAGAAGGTTCACCACGAGACAGCATAATTCCACGGTTCATCTTGGCAGGGTCCAATGCCCAGTTTGATAGGCCAATAAAAGCAACGCGAGAAAAACTTTCCTCAGTTTCAATGACGTCATCTTGAGTTTTATCGCTGTCCTCCAACAGGGGATGTAACGTCTTTAGGGGCATTTTTGGGGAATCCTCTGCAAGTCCCACCTCATCGAGCACTACCACCGAGGCAAACTTGTCGGAAATTGTCTCTGCCCGTTTGCGGTCTTGAAGCTCGCTGCATTGTTGGAAGGTTGCCATTATACCTTCAGGGGTAGACTGAGGACTGCACTGATGCGAAATCAGCTGAATCTGTTTTCAACGACGAAAACACAAATCAGTCCTTGTGTGGTTCACCACGCTGGTAACTGCACTTAGAGTTGTGTCTAGTGATTTTTCAACTTTTGACTGGGACGAGTAAGCAAACATCCGTCAGAACGCCTTAAAATTACTGCAGTAAACGTACAAAGTTTGAAAGCGATTTGTTAAAAATTAACGAAGATATAACTTTGCAAAAGAGTTTACAAAAGTTTGCATGATGAGGGGCAAGTTCGCGCTCCTCCCAAAAAAATCTCAGTAAAGATTCGCGACCTTGTGTAGCTTCGCTTTGGACGTATCACCTTAAGACTTCGTGCGTTGTCTAGTTTTGAGGCGCTCTTTCGTGCGGAGACGATGAAAATCCGTCTCTATCAAACCGTGGAAAAACCGTGGAGGGTCTAGTATGTTTATATACTGTACTATACTCGGTTGTATTATACCTAATTAAAAGAAACTGTGAAGACGAGCAAACCTGGCAAGAGGACTACCAAATTTCTGACTCACCTGTTTAAAATTTTTAAACAGCTCTGATGATGATCGTTCACCTTGCATGTTATCAGCCACAACAGTCTTTGCTAAAGATTTGGAGCTGCCTGGTTTACCAACTACAAACAGTGGAATTCTGAGTTCAATGCACACCAACATCATGAACACGTTCTCGCTTAATGCTGTGTTGCAGGCAATGTTAGGACCAAGCTTGAGTTCCTTCATTACAGCTTGTTGACAGCTTTACAAAGGAAAATATTGTCAAAATGAGCTATAAAGTCATATGGGAGCTTGCCACTATATGTGTGCAATCGAATACCCTGAGTGCCAGACGAATTCGTTTTCTCTTTTTTTTGGACGACGTGATTGAGCAGCAGTTCAGTAGTTCGTTCTTTATGCTTCTTAGCTCGCCGCTTGTAAGCGAGATGTCTGGCATTCAAGGTAGGATTAGTAACCGTACTACATGAAAGAGAGGACATGAAATTCAAGTCTGCTTTTACTCTCAGCCAATTAATCACTGTAAACTTAAAGGAGCTGTGTCACGAAATTCTGCCAAATTAGGAAATTACAAAATGCCCGTTAAATTAGGAGAAACAAAAATAACCGCTTAAAACTTTAAAGGAAGGTTAAAATAGCATAACAGAAACAACAGATGCCACGGATGGGCAAAACTGAAGAAGATTGAAACGGATTGAAATTAGTGTTTTTGAAAACTGTTCAGCCTAACAGTTTTTCAAAGTTGATCCCTGCTGCTTGCAACTTCAAAAATAATGCTCAGCGGACGTATTTGTTTGTCTCGGATGGGTTTGTCATTTACCTGTAATTTCTTTGCTTACTTTAAGTTCCATAGCGATTGAGGGCGTGTAATTGGCAAAATTAAACCGGCGAAATGAACTGGACTGCCGTTACACAGCCCCTTTAAACAATATAATTATATTTATTCAAAAGCTGACGTATCAAGCTCTCACCTTCCTTTAGAGCGAATGACGTGAGAAATTGTAGTATGGGCTAGGGGTCTACTCAGTACATCGAATATCATTGACGGGAAAAACTAGTAACACAGAAAATGGGAATAAATTAATTATATCTCTGAAACTTTCACCATATATTCCGACGACTTGGTAAAACGACTTTTCCAAATCTTCATTTCATCTAGCTCAGTCCGACATCATGAGTTTCTTATATGTCTTAATCTAAATTAAATATAAAAAAGTCGGACTGAGCTCCATAAATTTCATAAACTGATAAAATTTAGAAGTAAAAACTAGGGTGGTACCTTATCTCATGTAAATTATAGTAAAGACGTTGCCACAGTCAAGAGAAACTTGAAAAAATTCTTCGGGCTATTGATTGTCTTTATAGGACTGGTAGTTTAGAAATAGGTAAAGTAAACTTTGTTGTCAATTGCAACTGAAAGTTTAACAACAGCTTTCAGCAATCTAAAGTTACCATGTTGTAACAAACACTGCTACTATGGAAATAAAGTCAGTTTGAGCTTCAAGGTAAAAAACTAACCGAGTGATCTCTTCCTGTATTCTGTCTGGACCGCCAGGAAGCCTGCATGGAGTATTGAATACTTTTGCCACTTCCTGTCGATATTCGTCTCGGTTTTGTAACCGCGCTTGGTAACAAACTCCAAGAGCCATAATTAGTGACCAAGTGATTTGGTCGAGGTCATCTCCAAGTGCCTCCTGAGGCTGTAATAAATAAGAAAATGAGACGCATGCATAACCATGGCTATTCGCTGCAAAAACAACCAAAAACTTTCCCCTTACTCAAGAAAACAATATCCACACAATATGTTGTGATTTCCAAACATTGAAAATCCGATACCATGACTTACGTCTTAATCAAAGTGTTTTGAGAAACGTACCAGGCTTAAGGCTGTCCATGCAACGGGAAGGACGATGTAAATCGGACAATTGAAAGATTACGCTTTGTTTTCACATTTGGCCTTCTCGCTTGTGCGTGTTTCGCTATTCGCTAAGGGCTTAAGTCATGTTATTTTGTTCTTTCCTTTTTATTATTTCCAGTTTGCGAATGACTTGGGCTATTTCCCGGTGGTGTACTTTAAATCGGGCCTTAACCAACTCGCGTTAGTGCAATGCAACATTAACCGGTTCCATTACCTCAGTGAAATTCGCCGAATCATCCATGTCTTCTACAGGCAGCGAGATACCGGATTCGGAATGTCTTTCTTTTGACATGGATATTCTATCTACATACAATAATTCGTCGTCAGGAAATGGGATACGGGAATCAGAAAGTTCTTCCTGAGGCGTGGGCATTTCGTCTAAAAGCTCTACTTTTTTCCCAAACGAATGGACATGTGGCGTTTCTTCTTTATCGTCCTCTTCTTCTTCAATGTCTCTTTTTTCTTTACTTTCCTGATCTTCACTTTGCACCAAGGGCGCAAAATATTTGTAGTGTTCATAAAACCAGACCATGACCTCCATAGCTCGTTTCACATCTCTAAGGCTGACGAAACTGCATTCATCCTATAATGAAGACAAAAATGTAAAAATTAAAATAAAATCAAATTAAAAGGACACTGACATCGTGAAGGAAGACATGTATTTTTTCAAAGTTTGCGATCCGTCAATGCAACGATAAGACAGGTACCACAGGTATAACATGCTTCAGTCTCCAACGTTTGCTTATACGAACGAACAAATTCTAATGAAACAATTTAAAAACGTTTGCTCCACCTTTCTCTTTCCCATGAACTGCTGTGACACTGACAAGATCCTTGCTATAGTTTTGACCAAATCTTCGTCTCCCTGAAAGTGCTGTTCGTCTAGTACCTGTAGAAACGTAGAATGTGTGTCATTACCGTGTGCGGGGGTAATTCAAAAAAATTTATTAGAAACTGTTGATGCCGTGCATTTTATGATGTTGATTGTAATGTGCAATCTCATCGATAGGTCCTAATCCACTATTTTCACCATTTATCGTTTACTTACATAACGCTTTACAATCTGACAAATGTACTTCTCTTCCACGTCTGGCTGTAGGCGTCCAAAATCCCAGACAAGACTGCGCATACTCTCTGGTAGTACGTGAACTCGATACACCAGCTGACGCAAGGGAATTTCACCTGTTAATGTTTAAAATTTAAGAGAAGTCAATGTGATACTGCTCATCGCCTCCTACGCATAATAATGCCAAATCAAAGGTGGCTAAAGGGTTTTGGTAAGACGTAAGGGTCCAGTTTTCTTACATTATTTGCAAGATAGGTCAATTTGAAATCACTTCAGCAAATGATTTTAGCCCAAACATATTAATAGGATCTAGGTATCAGAGTTTCGCAAACATTCATAGTTTTAGGAAATAATAGAAAAAAGGACACACACTCTAAGAAGAGGCGGAGTGCCCTCATTTTATGCCAGTGTCCTGTAAATTAAATGGCTATTAATCGTGTTAAATAAGAAAAAAAGATGGAGATAGAACAACATTTTCAAGGGAAATACCTTAACTTAAAACGCTCTAACATAAGCAGGATCATCGTAAACAAATGATTAACCTTACCAATGCGTTCTGTTGTTTGATCAGCTCTTACACGGTATCCCAGTCCTGCTGACTCCAGTTTCTTTATCATTTCATCGGTATGCCTAGTATTAGAAGAGGTGTTAACTTTATAATTTTAACTAAAACATGTACTCCTGTTTTTATTACATGCTTAAGACTAAGGCTAATAACAAACCCAAATTCCTGTAGCTTATTCAAAATTATGAGGTAAGCATTTTAAAGGCAATTCTACGCTGGCTATATTTTAAGGCGGTTACCATTACTAAACATTCACCAAGACCCAATATAGAACATTGATACTTCCCTTTATGCACGTATATGTATCCTGTAAATATACAAGCAGAAGACTCACTTTCGATATGGGTTGCAAGCAACAATGAATTTCAGACGGTTACTCTTCAAAGAGAGTGGACGCCCATTGCATCTCCGATCAATCATGATTTCCTTGATCATGCCCAAAGCTTCAGTGGTGTTAGCTTCGTCAAAGAACAGAACGGTGTCAAAGCCACGTTGTGCGTTGCGGACGGCCATCTCCTCTGCGTGAACAACATTTCTTTCAATGTCTTTGAAAGTTGTCCCACCATGAATCTTTAGAAAAGAATATTTCAAACGTCCATCAAAACGATATATAACTTACTAAGGCTATCATATAGAGGGTTTTTAACCTTCAATGTCATTAATGAAACGTCGAATAGGGTGACTCTGCAAGGACAAATTCATTTTATCAATAGGCCGAATATGCACTCTGATTCATAATTCTTGTACCGGTCGTTGCAAGCGGTACAGGTGATTCACAAAAAAAGATAGTATAAAAACACTGATTTGTTTTATCGACGGCCCATTTAGAATTAAGTATTCATCTTCTTCGCAGTTAACCTCATAACCTGGGTCTGTGAAAGGATTCGAGCCCTTGATCTCCCAGACACCGTACTGGCGTTCCAGCTTTTGTTTTTCTATCGGATTTATCCTCACTCTCCTGTTATTCCTTACATGAGGAATATTTAACAGATAAACACTTTTCCAGCGTCTACAATCTTAAAGACAATTGCAGGAACTAATCCGGCAACGATCATTTCTCATGATCAGTTAATGTTAAACTCAGTGTTCACATTTCTTCACCGAAATCAAAGGTGTCAAAGCTTGCCAAATTTCGATGTTTATCCCCGTTCAAGTGCTTTCGACATTGTTGACCCAAGTAATATTCAGCAGGAAGCATTTCAGACATCACCCGTAAAATGGCTTAGGTCCACATGATTTTCTCTTTAGTGTCAGTAGTTGCGGCATCAGAGTGGTTCTTGGTAAATTTAGATGAGCTGCTCTTTGTCCCACACTCAGGTCGTCTTTTTCACATTATTGCTAATTTTTTAGGTGCTTTTTCGCTTAAGTCTTAACTCTTTTCTAGTTACATTATAATCTATTACCTTCATCAACAGCAGGTTTTTGCATTTCAGTCCCCCTGTCTGTAGACCACACATGTAACGAATAAGGCGTGTCTTTCCACATCCTGTTTCGCCCATGATGATTACCGGGATGTTACATCTGAATCTCATGTGTATGGCTAGAATTTTCTTAGCATTGTCTCCAGTCAGCTCATAAGATTTATCAGGGTCAATCATCCCCCAATCCAGGCCCATGACCTTACACAAAGTTTCCATTATTTCACGTCTAGAAACAAACAGTTATCGGTCAAGTTATAACTGCAAAACAAGAACTTCTTGCAAAACGGGGCATGTGTGCTGTTTTTGCTGACTGGGTTTAAATACTTGGTGGATGACTTAAGGCGCTTTTCATTTGTCAGAACTGGCCGGCCGGCCGGACCAGTCACTTAGCAGATGAAATGGGCTTTTTCCAGAGGGTTTTGCTGAAAAACCATCTCCTTCGTGCACACTATTTAGGATTTGACTGATCTGGTTGGATAGTCTTGATTAAAAGTGAAATTAGTGATACGTTACCCTATATTTTGTTAGCGATGTAGCGTTGTTAAAGAAAAGAAAATAAATTTAAAAACTGCCCCCTTAATTAGTTTGCTAGTGTAAAAACAGGAGGGTATCATGCAGGTACCCATATAAATGAGAATCTTCTGTCTGGGCCGTCACAAACTTACTTATTCTTGCTCTCAAAGTCGTGGTTCAGGTCCACATTTTGTACGTAAAGTCCCGTGCGAAGACGTCGTGGCATTAAACTTTTTTGAAGAATTTCTCCAGTTTGAGGGTCCAAGAACTCAGCATTTCCATCTTCATCAACTTTGAACCCGAGAAAAGAAAGGGTCACATGATCCGGATGGAAAAATAGATACGGATGAGTACTGCAATCAAAAATTAGTATAGCCAAGGATGAATTTCAATAGCAGGTGACTTCAGTAAATAACACCTAAGCAGTGTTATTACAATCACATGGGAGTTTCGAGTAACTCAGTACTAGAAGATGAGATTTTTCTAACACTGAGCTAATGGGAAGATAATTTCTAAAAGTTTAGAACATTGACAGACAGGTTCTATGAAGTAAACGCGAAAGAGAAACATTATAACATGTACATTATATTTCACGTTAATTCCGAGCGAAGCGCCCTTGCGGCGAGGTTTATTAATATGTCATCGGAATATTAGTGTGATGCTTGCCTGCAAGGAGAAATAATTCTCCTCCCTGCAAGGTACTCCATATAACAAGTGTGGGAGGTTCTGCGATACACGTATTTCTAGCTAGTAATAGATCGACGTATCTTACCTTTGTTCCCAGGACCGCCGTAGTTGCAGGGGACGAATGTCACTTTCATCATCTGTCTGCTGCGTGCCTCTTTCATCTGTTTCTTGTAATGACCGTAAGGAAAAATCCTAGTAACAAAGACAGGACGTTGTTTTAAGCGTGTTCGAACGCCGGTTAGCGCTAACCCGGGGATAAGTTTTAACCCGGGTTTCTTTGCCTTTTTTCAAAAGCACTCTTTAGAATGATTTTCTCTATTATTTTTAGAGTGTCCAATCATCAAATTGTAGGCAAAGAGAACTAGACTGAATTTGCTTTTTGAGCCCTCATATCTGCTTTCAAATTTCGCACTAACCTAGCCTCCCACGCAGACGTTCTTAGGGGTTCGTCACGCGTTCCTGCTCCACGAACGTCTGCTGACTTGAGCGGAAAAAACGTAGACCAATCACAGCAGACTTCCAGATCTGGGAAGTGCACTTTGGACCTTGAGAAATTTCGTGCTTGACTTTTTATACAGCTCCAGAAAAGTTCAGAAAGGTTACATGAAACGGTGAAGACCTTACAGTTTTAAAACAAACTACTCTGTTAACTCACAAGCGTTCGTACTAGTGGCTACCCTCAGAATCTCGTTAAATTAAGAAGAACGGAAGTCGGCTTTCGTACAAAACAATAACGTGTGAAAAAATTCTGCCTTTTGTTCAGTCTTACAAGGTAACCACGCCGTTGCATCACCCAAAGAACAACTTTATGAGCAAATGACATCTAATCCAGCCTTTACAGAGAGAAATACAAAAAGCCAACGCTTATTGGTCACGTATCACGCTCTACAGAGCTTGTACGTATGTGTTTGGCTTGTCAACACTTTGACTTCAACAACGTCGATTGGATCTCCGATAATCTGCATGTGATCTTCAGCCGATATTTGCCAACCATGGGAAAGGAATTTATCATTCAGTTCAGCAGACGTTCGTAGGGCAGGAACGCGTGACGAACCCCTAAGATCGTCTGCGTGGGAGGCTAGCACTAACCCTAGTTTACCACAACCCAGCTTCGAACAACCTAGCCCTGAGTCTTGTCAGACTAATCTAGCATTGTAATTGTGTTTGATAAATAACGGCAAGGAATAATGATTCAATGAAACTGAAAATGTGTTGGATTCGTTTTAGACAATTTTCCTGTGGTTGTTAGCTTGAAAGCTATGCTCCTCTGACCACCGTACATTTCTCTTAAAGCCGTTTACTTATATATTTTAATCTCGTAATTGTTACTTATTCCTATGTAACTCATATTATATGAAGTGTGAACAAAAAACTAAACTGACCTGAATCTGAAACTAAAGGAAAGTTCCAGTTCAAAAATTTTAACAAGCTTACTAAATATGTTTTACTTTGCCTTGTATGTCTAGGATTGTCTCATCTAAAGCATTTTTGAGTGTATTTAGTGCCTCATTTGCCAGTATATCTAGAATTACCTCATCAATCATGTAAAGCACACTGTAGTTACTCTCACCTTTGACATAATGATCATAAATCTCACTACAAAAATTCGAAAACCTTCCAAAGTGTCCCCAGTAAGTTCTGGTTTACAGTACACACTTTGCTCGCAGTCCAGAAGTTGGTGATTAAGAAAGTTAACAAATTGCCGCAGCTCGAACCATGATGGGTTATGAACTCCACAGTTTCTATGGACAGCGAGAGACAAAACGTGAAAATAATGGTGAGAATGAATTCCGTACGACCGAATAAATAGACGTTGGGGGGGGGGGGGGGGGGGCACATTTTACACAGTGGTCCGAGAAAGCTACAAACTGCCATGAGGTTATATTAAGGATACAAAATCACTGTTGTTCGGTTATTCAGGTAACGCAAAAGTCAAAGACAAATCTGTCATTGTAAAACAAGTTAAGGTTATCGTAAAAGATGAAGTCCACTAACAAGGACACAGTAGTGGGTTATGAGGAACGAGTTGAATAAATGTTTGTCATGAATGCGCGCTGGCCATTGCTGCAAACAGATCATAAAATGTTTTTTTACCAACAGCCCTCATAACATAAAATAATAAAAGGCTTCTGTGAATGAGTAGGTCGCGGAAAAAAAAAAAATAATAATTATTATTATTCCTACCTGAGCAAGACCTTCAAACATTCCATTGGACTGCCTTCCGTTCTTTGAGGCAGAAATTCAAAGTCCTGTATTTCACGCTCATCTTTATTAAATCGTCGAAGATACTGCCACACACGCTGCACTGCCTCGCTTTTGAACTCTTCATCATCAAAGAGAGGACTTTCATCTTGTTTTAAAACATGATATAGTCAAGGCACAGTTATTACTGATGCTTAAGAAAGTAAGTATTATTTACAAACAGCTATTTTTGTAATAGTGTTTTTCGCAGTTGCTCTATCGAATGCGTCATTAATGCCCTAACATGAGAGCATCGTCTGAAACTCACGCATGAAGAAAAATAAATGAATGAACGGACTGACTGAAAAAATATCAATATCTGTTTGAGATCGAGGTGAATGGGGAAAATATTTCTAAAACAGCTAGTACTGTCAAAGAGAATTAAGTTGCTTTTTAACATTGTTTGCCTTTCGCAAAAATTGTTTTGTTTGTCTTTCTTAATAGGCAATCTTCCAAATGTTCAGAAATCGACTTGCTCAGAGAATAGAATTTAGTTACCTTCTCCTCGGACAAACTGCAGTTGTTAATCAGTGAAAAACTCTGATTGTTTTGAATACTTTTATATCTCTATAAACTGTACGGCGTTCCTAGAAAATATTTTTAAGGCCAGTCATGCTTGTGTCTTAGCAATACAGTACAGTTTCACAAACTGCTAGGATCACTGGGTGCATATAAGTAAGCATTATTCATCACCGGTGTGAATTACCTTTCTGGTTTCTGATCGGCAGTATCGTCATTGGACGTACGCACGTAATGGTGGGAAGAAGTTCGAAAAACCTGCAGCTTGTTGTTTCTTCTTTCTAATGGATAAACATATAAAAATTCTTATTTCATATCTCGTAGTGATAAAGATTGAATAACGAATCGCCCCATGTAAGGAAATCCGGATTCCGGAATTCATGAAATTTATGCTTGTGGAATCTGGAATCCTGGGCTTTGGAATCCAGAATCCAGATTCCACTGACAAAGACTGACTCCAGTACCTGGAATCCGGAATCCACAGCCTGGAATCCAGAATCCAAGACTGTCTTGGATTCCCTTACATGGGGCAAAAAGAACATTTAACTTTTATGATCCGTTATCAAATAGACCTATTCGGCTTACTCAATGTTGTACACAATTCAAATCTTCTGGGGATAAGATTCTTTATGTATTGTCATTGCATTATAATGTGGCATTCACATTTAAATGATATGGAAATTCCTCAAACAAAAAGCTTTATTCCCAAAGGGTTTGAACTGGGTACAACATTAGTTAGCCGAATAGGTCTATTCATCATTTTCTTTCTACAGGCAAAGACATGTAGGATGTAAGTGGCAATCTAACATACCTGTGGTGAGGTGTAAGTAATTTCCAGGATGTACAAATCATGGGGGTTTCGTCTCCAAACACGTCCACGATTATCTGTTAGTTCTCCCAGGATGAGCAAATTAAACAGCAGTGTGTCAATATCTGGTATAACCTGAAAATCGGGGGAAAAAACATGTGACACATAACAGACACATAACTAAACGACTAAACTGATGTAAACGTCCGTCTGTATATAAAAAGAGATTTATTGAGTTTTGGCGGAATAGCTAGGCCAAACGTCGAACTCTCCGTGAGACGAACCAAACTTAGTGAGTTAAGTTAATGAAAAGTTCGACGTCTGGCTCGGTTATTTTCGTCTGAAGGAGTTCGGGTCGTCCAGCACGTTCTATCCGTCTGCTTTAGACGGAGAGAACGTCTAAAGATCGTTTCCAGGACAAACATCGACCTTCACTTGCGACGAACTAAGCTAGCCAGTAAAAAAATGTATGACAATGTATATTTAGCCTCGTTCGAGAATAAAAATTAAAATTGCTTTTTGATCTGATTCAGTTGATTGGCTCGACGCCTCCTTAGTTTGACGTCTGACCCAACAGACGACCTGAACTTAATTTAGGTTGACAAAATTAGAGTTTGGTTGGTCTCATGAAAAGTTCGACGTTTGTCCTAGGCCTTACGTTATCAGCTTATTATTAATAGTAATACTGAAATAGGAACAGGTCAAGTAATTGTTAAGTGTTTCAATTCAGGGAGATGCTGTTATACTTAAAGACCGATGCTAGGCAGTCACTCAGTCAGTCGTTCAGTTCTTCATTGGTACTCGAAAATACATACCGTGCAACAACTATCGAGATGAAAAATCCTAGACAAAGGCAAATCTGGATGGACAGCGTGCGGAAGGAAATATTCAGTGATATCAGCGACACTTGCACGCTCATTGTGCAAGGGAATCGTCACGCACAATGATGGAGGATCTCGTTTTTGCTCCTTCATCTCCTCCGTGATAAGAAGATTGTTTGGAAGGTTTGACACCTGCTCTGCTAACCTTTGAACGACTAAGCTTTTACCCACTCCAGAATCAATAGAGGTTACTAGGCGAACACTTAAGCTGCAAAAAGAAAGCATCAGATGTCATAATTTTTGGGAACACTAGAGAGGTCTGATCAAGCCTTCTTGTTTAATAATCGATTTTTGGATTAGATCCACACACAGCGTATACAAAATTATAGTTCAAAACGTTTCGTTCAGCCAAACACATCGCTTAGTCTAGAGTGTGTGACTGTCAAACAACTTAGCCTAAGTCGAATAACCTACTTTCCGGAGCGAATGGTGTCGGCGGCTGGTCTCCAAATCACGTGCTGACCGTGATAACAGCCCTGCCTTCCTTCAGGTGCCGTAAACTGGTCCCGAAGGTAACGTCTTAGCTCCTCTGGTTTAGGATATCTTGGTATTCCTGTCACTTTGTATTCCTCCAGGGCGGCCACCATTTGAGCACGTTCTTCATTTTCACTGCTGCACAGGACCACAAGACCAAAGTCTGGAGAAGAATAAAAAAAGACCCTTTCCGTTACAGAAAGAATTATAAATCACACTCTTAAGTTTTGTTTTTCTTCGATGGATCAAAAGTTGTGTTTAGAATTCACATTGTTAATGCTATTACTTTGATGTTATAATTATAACAAATTACTGTTTCTAACTCTAATAAGTAATAATGTGATAAAGGCAGGTGATGACCGCTTGTTCATTAAAAGTTACGTTTCTGAAAATAATCGTGCATTGACTATCCAACATATCAGTCTAAGACTGAAGGGACAGGTACTAGCCAAAATTAAGACTCTAAGACAATCACGAGAACTGCACTTGCACCGGTAAATGTAGAGAGAAGACTACACAAACTGGCTAACGATGAAGAAAGAGCCCGACAAGTTGACTAAAGAGGCACACCCGAGGAAGGAATTGCTTTTTGCTGACAACGAGCTGACACCAATAGTCTTATCCATCATTCAAAAAAATACATGTCACGAGCAGGAACATATCAGATGTCTATGTAAGTTGTTAAAATGCAGAAAAGATATTGGTTGGGTGGAAAGTGTCTTAGGGCAGGAAAAAGTGAATTATCAAGGGAGTTTTTTCCCAAGAAAAGCAAACTTAGAAGAATTTGGGTTCGCCTGCTCAAGGTCATTCATGTCAATTACCAAATGACACTATTACGATGACATGAAGCATCATGTGATTCCTTCGGAAGTTTAATGAAACTTTTGACTTCCATGTTGACTCCAACTTTATGCACCCAAGGGCAAACATGGCCAATCCTGAACCAACATGTCACGAAGCTACCACGCTGCGAGGTGAAGTAATTAGAAGAATGGATAAAGCGGAACCTGTGACGCAGTATACTGTGAGCCGCCAACGTCTTTTATGGTTCGTTAAATAATTCTAGACACCTCACGGTAGCTTATGATGATGATAAAGATTTCTTGTGCAAAAGGAAATAAACAATAATAAAAAAAGAACCAAACCAAAAATAGAAATATTACTTTCATTGTTGTAATCTCGTATCAATGTGTGCAAACAATCGGCTGCCTTCTGGCTGACGTCATAGTCCAGCAAATCACCCATAACAAGACAGTGAAATTTTCCCTGTGGGTCCGTCAATGCACGACGCCACAACAACTCTACCTATAAAATAAATGGACCACATTCAAAGAAATAAATATCTAAAAAATATCTAACAAACATCTAAAATGTTATCATAACATCTGTAACAAGCCATGAATGCACGCATGCCCAGAGAATATGCACTGGTCAATTTCACTTGGTTAGTTCCTGTATGTTTTTCGCTCAATTATGAGATAGTATTTAGTTAAAGGCTGTCCTTCCCGCAAGCAGCTCTAAGGGCAAAGTGATATACCTCCTTAAATTAAATCTTGGAAATCACGAGTAAAAGCATTTATCGGTGGAGTCCTTATTGAATTAAAGGGTCTCCATCATGAATTAATGACATAACTTAATATAATAAAGTAACATTTAATAAAGTAAGTTCATTGGAGCAGTTTCATCGAAGACTTTTCCTTTGCATGATTAAATAGAAAAGATATTACGAGGTAACGCGGACAAAATAAAAGCGGCTCCAGGAAAATAGAAGGATGAAGCCTGAAGTAATGTGAAGGGTCAATAAGCTAACAACAGGGTCGAAAAATGTTTAACTTAAGCACGGAATAAAGCAGTCTCCAGGTTTTTACCTCCTCTGCTGTCGTTGTAGATGTGCAAACCAGAACTTCGTTACCATCTGGAAGATTCTGTGCCCCACCTTCCTTGTAAAGGCTGAGCACGGCAGGAAAAATGTTTTCTGTAACAAAAGATGACATATTCACACATATACCCGCAAACTTACAGGTAATCACACTCCAGTAAGTATTATGCACTTGTCCTGGGGACAGTGCTTCAATGAAGAACGTAATAAATTCCAATAAATTTTTCATCTGATACTTGATTGATTGGCACAAAAGCCGTATTTGGCAATACCCTACAGACAAGTGACGTACCTTAAAAAACCATGACTTGCATTTGTTTAGCGTTCACGACATCGATGTCATTTGAAACCGAAGATGTGGCCTAAAACATGCGATCTAAAAAAAGTATTACCTCTGGGCGCCAGAATCAGATTTGGTCTTCCCTTTTTCAAGTAGTTAGGAAACGGTCGCTTTGCTGTTCTTTCTTCTAAGGAAAGGAAAACCAATAATAACATTTGTTTTTGTTCTAATCTAAATATGAACTGGTTTTTGAGGAAAATTCCAAGTATATTTTGTAATCAAACAAAAAACAACCGTACCCACCACCAGAAAATGACGAACAAAAAAATCAAATCAGTGAGTTAACATAGCAAGATTAAATATACCAAATAAAATGCAAATAATGTTACTATTTACAAATACGGCGAAAAAGTTAGATTCGCGGCTTTCGGAAAAAAAATCTATTAGTGGGTGATTTGGGACTGCCGACGCCCGGGTGCCGACGCGCTAACCACTTGGCCATGCTTTCTTCTCGTATTTAAGTGAGCAGTAGATAATTACCACTGGAAGCCAAATGGGATAGGAAAACAGCGACTTCTTCCAAGGTTAAGTAACTGCCTCCTCTTTGTTCGTCAAACGAGATCTCTTCTAATGTGCTTGAGTCTACCACTTCTACCACTTCAGAATTATTATCGTCTGATGCGCTAATAAAAAATAACGGGTTCAAAAGTCGAAAATGAATAACTCGCAACCGTTCGAGACAACAATGATTTACAAACAACAGAAACATTGCACGTGCACTTAAACTTGCAGTTGCTGGAAGGAAAAATAAACTTACAAAGAATTGGCATCCATCAGTTAGGCAAGGGTTATTCGTGACGCAAAGTAAGAATACCATGACTCCTCAATTTTTACAAGTAAAGACGTTTGTCAATCACAAAAAGAACAGTACATAATAAACTGTTATCCCAGTAGGTTAAGTTTAGTTGTGTGTTGCCAAAATGTGTGTAACAGAACAAAAATCTGCAAACGTTGAACCCCACCCCAAGGAAAATACTCCCAGGCTTACACCCCACCACCGCCAGAATAAAAACCGTTCCTGACCTCATGGAACGGTAGACACAGATTGTAAGAATTGCCGTTCTTCTTATTGGGAGATATTATATATACTCGAGCAAACTTGCAGGTACGTCTCCCTCCATGACTCTTTTTAAGGGCAAACTAAATTCCGTCATTGAGATGGAAAAACAAGAAGCACTCCGCTGTAATTCTTTCACCGTTTTTTCAAACAAATGGAAATTTTTTCTTATTTAAATTTAATTGCTTGCACTGGTTACCCTCTAGCTAATCGCTTTGACTGGGCCAAGTCGTGCAAAGTTGAGCCATCCACCGTCCACCATTCACCGTCCTTTCCTTTTATTGTAAGTAGCTAAGCGAATTCAAGCATAAATGTAACCTCAGCTATTTTTATGTTTGTTTCGGCAAGTTGTAATATGTATACGTTTTGTGTGATGTAAATTTACCTCAAATAATAAATTAAAAAAAAAAAAAGAATTGCCGAAAATATCGTAAATGTTTCTGAAAAGAATTTAAAAAATATGAAGTGGAGATCAAGCGAACTAGCTCTCATGAGTGTATGAGGTTATTTGTTGAGCCAAAAAATAGTAAATACCTGATGTCTTCTTCTTCCGAATCTTCTGAGCTCTCCGAAGACTCTAATCCTGCAACCTCTTTTACAATGACTCCAAATAAGGGATTCTTTTTCGCCTGATCGCAGAGATCATCTATCATATCATCATTGGTGTTGTTTTGAACACACCAAATCACGAGGTCGGCTTCACTGCTTTGCCAATTGTCCACAAGGGCAGCTAGGGCTAGACGTTCAGCCTCGGGATAATTCAACTTCTCAACACGTTTCAGAAGAAGTTCGAATTTTTCTTCAATTTCAACTTGTTCATCTGCTGCTTCATGATAATCAACCACATGGCTGCCAGGCAATGGAGGTTGGTCTGAAACTCCATCGTCAAAGTTTTCACTCTCTTGCATTACCCCAGCTTCAATTAAAACATCCTTTAAGGCCGACGGAGAAATACCGGGAGCAATTTTTTCAAGAAGTGCAAACACTTGAAAGTTGAGAAAATCTATGTTAGCGCTGCGATTAATGGCAGTGAGTTCCTTGCGCAAAAACAGTAATTGCTGTGTTGTGAAATAGTTAAGCTCACTATACTTCATTCTCTGTTCGTGCAGGTGCACTCTGTAGGCATCATAGCGAAGTTCGAATTCCTGGGCTTGGGAGATGATGTCATGTATGACGTCTTTACCCATAATGCTGCTTTTACATTTATATTCCTTGTTCCAGTCGAGGTAAGACACATCTCCAATTCCGCAGAGTTTAACATACGCCTGACCCAGTCGAACGGCACCTTGCAAAATCTGACAAAGAAGTAGCTGACTTGTTATTTCCAGGCATCGTAAAGCGATGTAGACACTAATTTGAGTTTCAAACTAGGATGTGAAGGTGCACTAAGAGCTTCAATTACTTACTCATACCTAGAATGCCAGATTAACCATAAAAGAGTATTTAAGATGGGGGACATTTAACGATTGCCAGGCATTGATCACTGTTCAAACTCTAAACGGAGAATGTATGGTGAATTGTTGACAGTGAAGTAATTTGTGTTTAGCAAAGAAAGTAAAAATCATACCTGGCCAAATTTGTCCACATCATCCTGCCCAGCAGAGCGTTTACCAGAGATGAGAGCTAATTTGCTTTGCAGTTCTTGAAGTTTCTCAAGACTGTACTCTCTGAAAGCCGGGGTTGCGTTGGCACCGCTCTCTAAAGGAAGTATCAAATTGACAACAGAATGAACTGTTTTCTTGTCAGAAGGCTGTGATGCGGTCGTGGTGTCCAGTTGACCAATGCAATAAACGCCTCTTTCATTAATGTTCTGGGCCAATTCCAGAGAGGACATGGCATGAGCATCTTTTACTCCCTTGAGCCACTCTAGATGAGCAGTGATACCCTCCTAGAAAGGAAAAGCGCAACTTAGGCCAGTTATGCATATCTTGATCATGCATAAGTTAATCGCATTAGTAAAAATCTGGTTAATTTAAAACAGAGTTAAGTTCTTGAACTGACTCTATCGCCAAAATTCATTAATTTGACAGCGGAAAAGCAAATAGAGAATATGGACTGCAAATTGCTGGTTTGCACGTGACGTCACCGCGGTCATGTTGGTGGTGTATTAGGGTTAAGAACAAAAGCATTTCCCTCCTCTGGGAACTAAACCCTATTTTCATGTAATTCTTCTAGAAAAAATTCTATTGTATTGACCACCAACACACCATCAACATGGCATGCAGCCTTGTCACGTGGTTGCAAGTAAAAAATTACGGACAAAGATAAACTAAACAGTTATTCTTTACCAGCTGTTCAGGCAGAGTTTTGTTTTCGTCAATTTCTTTCCACACTGTGTCAAATATCCTTAACAATTGACTGAAGTCAATATCTTTACTCAGATCAAAAATGAATGGAGCGAATCCAAGTGCTGTAGTGTGCAAAAATGAGACACGGTCGGTTTCAATGTCACTTTCTCCGGCAGACATCATTGCAAGGTCCACAAGTGTTTTGACTTCTTCCCGCCCTCCTAAATTACAAAAAAGGAAAAAAAGAAAAAGAAAAGAAAAGAAGACTATTTATTTCTGCTTGCCATTTAAATGCTGACTGCTATTTCAAGGACTATAAGGTTCCAGACAATTTGTGGAAATAAAGGGCTAATATAGATCTATCCAATAATCAAGATTCTCATGAAAATCACTCGTGCGATTGATTTGCTTAAGTAACATTTTTACCAATAACATCACTTTTAAAAAAGGGGAAAATTACACTGCGTGATTTTTGTTCTTCATCGTCAAGAAATACGATGTTTTCCAGTTCCATGGGGGTAAATTTTACCATTGTCCAGTGCAAATAACCTATGATTATACTTCTGAGATGAATCCTGGGTGCAGCAATGCTTTAAACTAAAGGTAATGTTGCTAATTTCTTACGATTCAGCTTCGTTTTGCCCTATGTTATCTTGCTTCTCGTTAGTAATCTGGTTTCAGCCGTGCAGATTACCCAAATTAATTGTCTTGGTTCCTTACAGTGCGGACTCTCAAACCGGGACACTTGGGAGAAGATCGCCCAATCAATATGAAAACAAGAGATTGTTAATTTCTTCTTTTGCAAACGGACCAATAACGCTTTATGAATTTGTGGACTGATTCCTGAGAGGTCAGGTAATTCAAGCGGTTAAAGATTTCATCAGTTGCATACTTAAACCTTAAATTTTATTGGTCCGCAATTGGGATTGAACAATCTTCGATCATGCCCTAGTTCGGTATATTTGTCCTCGCGATTTCGTCTCCAGAGCCTTCGATACCATTGTCCAGCGAATCAAAGCCTCGGTTGGATAGAAAGCAAACGGCAAGGCCATTCATTGGTGAATAATTTTTTATTATCAGAGCAAAAGTGATTAACTTGAAGCACGCCTTTTTTCAGTCAGTCAATCTTAAAAAGGTTCTGAATCCATATAGCATTATTTTAATTAAC